AGAGGTCATTAGAAAGTCAAACATTGGATTTGTTGCTGCTACTCGATTCTTTGGGGGTTACTAATGTTTGTTTGACATGCCTAAAGCCATATTTAAATATTTTCATGGAGGTTATTAAAGGTCATTGTAGGTCATTAGAAGTTCAAACACTAGATTTGTTGCTGCCACTGTATTCTCTAGTTCCTAGCTTTCATTTGAAATACATACTATGGTTAAAACATTTTCAATTTGGAGGTCATTAAAGGTTGTTAGAAAGACAAACACTGGATGCGTTGCTGCTACTGTATTCCCTGGGTCGTAACTTTCTTTTCATATGCTTAAAGTCATAGTTATAACATTTTTATTTTTGGAGGTCATTTAAGGTCATTAGATGGTTAAACACTGGATTCGTTGCAGCTACGGCATTTCCTGGGTTCCTATCTTTCGTTTGATATGCATTAAGCCATAGTTAAAACATTTTAATTTTTGGAGGTCATTTAGGTCATTAGAGGTCATTGGAAGGTCAAACACTAGATTCGTTGCTGCTACTGTATTCCTGGGGTTCCTAGCTTTTAATTGATATGCATAAAGCAAAAATGTTTTTTTAAAAATCCGCAAAATTTTTTTCTTCTTTGTTTTAAAATGTAAACAAAATGAACATGTTAACAATTTAAATAGAAGATGGGCGCGAAGCGACCTAAAAGCCTAGTATATATAAATTTATATGAATTTACACTCCCAAGGTCTGAAGACCTATTTGGCCTTGTAAATTCCCGAGCAAGATGAAAAAATATTGTGAACCCAAAATTAGCACGTTCTGAGGTTTAGTAGCAATATCAGTAGTCAGTACCCCTGATTAGAGAATTGTTTTAAACTTTTTTTGTACATTGGGATGTTATTTCATGTAATGATGTTATATTATCTAAATCCCATGAGACTGATAACAGCTTGCTTTTCACAGTTAAGCATGATGGAGTTTAGACCTGATTGTATTTAACTGCTGACGTTCATCCGTAAACTCAACTCTTAATCTTATCAAGGGAAGTTTACCCTGAAATATAACAATAATATATAAGATATATAATATGATGGCCGAGCAAGAGAAACACATAAAATTAACTGAAACAAGACTAGTGACTTGTCATGTCATTTACGATAAAAAGGTTGAAACCAATTAAAAGAAAAATTTATGCAAACATGTTTTGAAAAATATAAAGAGGCGTTAAATCTTAAGCTTTTCATTAATTTGTCTCACATAATCAATGTTGGTCCCGAGTCCAGAGGTCGAATCTAATTAATAAGGATAAGCAGTTTAAAAATAGTATGGCTAGTTCAACTGCTTCTCTAGTTCAATAATGTGTGTTTCAACCTCAGTAATTAGTACTAAATATTAAGTGCCTGTTTAGGATGTCCTGTAAGCTGCTTCTCTGAGTCTAGTATAAGCTGCTCCACCTCATGGTTCAGCTGCACTTCAATCATCTTTTGCAGCTTCTTGTCATCCTTCTCCTATATTAAACAAACTTGAATCATGTTCAGCTGCTCTTCTATCATCTTCTGCAGCTCCTTGTCATCCCTCTCCTATATTAAACAAACTTGAATCATGTCAGCTGCTCCTCTATCATCTTCTGAAGCTCCTTGTCATCCCTCTCCTATATTAAACAAACTTGAATCATGTTCAGCTGCTCCTCTACTATTACCTAAAGCTCCTTTTCATCCCTCTCCTACAAAGATAACACTTGTTTTAAATCCATACCCAACCTTAAAAGAATTTTACAATAATCTCAAAAATAATATTGTAGAATACCAAAAATCAAAACTAAATGTTCCAAAATGTCATAATCTTGAAGAAAAGATTTGATTTAAACTATGTTTAAATTAAACTATTTTTATGTCTTTAAAACAAATTCCTCGTGGAGTTGATAATAGTTTTAAAACAAACTAGCCTTAGAGGGCGCTTCGCGCCCATCTTCTAAATTAATTGTGAACATGTTCTCTTTGTGTTCATCGTAAAACAAAACAAAAATAATTCGCGGATTTTCACCAAAAATTTCGTGGATTTTCAAAATTTTCAAAAATTTAATGAAGATCGAATTTTGATGGAGACAAATATTTGAAATTTTGATCATTCATAAACCTTCCCTGGGGTCCCTAGATGTCCCACAAAAAATTTGGGCCCGATCGGTTCAGCCGTTTTGACGTTTATTGGATACAAACAAACAAACAAACAAACAAACAAACAAACAGACAAACAAACGGACAAACAAACAGACAAGCCAAATTTATATATAGATTAAATGAAAAGTCTTACATCAAAGTCAACTTTCTTGAGATCTGTTATATTCATACTCTTAAACATCATCGGCCTGAAAAAACGTTGAAAAAATGTGCTTTATTAAATGACAACTGTGGTCTGAGAAAAAGCCGATTTATCATTCAGAATTCCAGCACAAAGGTATGAACCTTTGCATTTACACTATTTGATGATTTTTGTCATAGTCATGGATTAAAAAAAATCTAGTATATATTCAATTGCAGATCTTTATTTTTTCAAAATTATTTTAAAATTGTTTATTTTCAAAATATAACTTATTTTAAACATTTGAAGGTTTGATACGTTTTTCCTACTTCTCTAAAAATCCCCGTGATTTATTGAAGAGTTGGAATCTAGGAACCGGTTTGACGGAGAGAGAAAGTCGTCGTTGTATAAACGTGTTAATTTGTTAAATCATGCTTGAAAACAAAAACGTTTATTTCTTGCTAATTCGAAAATCAAAAGTTTTTATACTTTAATATATAATGGCTGACACAAGATGTCATTGAAATATCATAATTTTAGATTTTATTGGGCTGTTGTTACTGAAAAAACGTTTAAATAGTGGCTAAACAAATGTATCAAAGCGATAAATCGGCCTTTTCTCTGGTCATATATATCTTAGAAAAGTAAGACTAATACCAATGAATAGCTAATAGGCTTAATAGTTTACCATGAAATTACCCAACCAGTGAACGGTAAGTAAAGTAAGTAATGTAAAATAAGATATAATGAAGATTGTTACAATCAGGCAATCAAGAACCTACACTACACAATTGACAGTTATTTTCAGTGATTGGTCCAGGGTCCTTTACCCAAAACAGGAGTTTGGTAATTGTTTGAGGTTCCCTAGTTCGGGTCAGAGGTCTTATTCTTATTCAAAAATTTGTTTTTCAGTTTTAAATTTAGATTTTTTTGTTTTTTCATTGTTTTTTTTTTATTTACTCAATCTTATTTCAAGGTTTCGATTATGAAATTTCAGTGTTGCACTTACCAAGATATCAAATTTTTTTTTTAGAAACATTGAATCGAAATAAAAATACTCGGACGGGGGTCTGGGGATCTCACATTAGGGATCTTTCATGATCATTTTCTAATACTAATAGATGATAAAATTAATGAAAACTATACTGCTAAACTACAGATAAGTATTTGAATCGACATTAAATAGTTCAGAGACCTAGCTCAAATTCATGAAATTCGGTCCCAGTTCACTCTAACTTAATATTGAAGGAATTGAGTCTTTGCCACAAACTCAAATGCTCTAATCTCTATTTCTTTGCAACCTGATGTGTAAATCTTTTATATTTTAAACTTAGATTATTTGATCCAATAGAATTCACAGATTGAAATATCTAACGACAATATATAGAGACGATATTTATATATTCAGGAGTCTGATGATTGACAGCTGTGGTGTCAACAGCCACAGCAGAGCATCCCTTTGTGATGTTTGACCCATGGAGTGCCCTAAGACAATACTTCAGAACTGTCTTATTTTATCAATATGTCTTGTGCACCCCAGAGGTCAAATATCCAGAAGCTCTGCTGTTACAGAAAGAATAAAGAACCGTCGGGATATGTAATCATCGACCCGCGTTCTCTCCTTCAAAACAGAGAGGATTCCCCGAAGAGAAAGACAAGCAGGTGAGCTGGTTCCACACTATCGTAAAGTAATAGGGATTAGAAAATTAGAGTTTGTGGCAGAGACTTATTTTCTTTAATTATACAGACCTAACTGAGCGAAGTTGAATAGGATCAATCCTAAACTTATTATCAGAGTTGATTTCTAGTATAGCAACCTTCTTAGGCAGGGATTCACCTGGTAAAAAAAAGAAAATATTTAAGATAGAAAATGACGAATTTATCTTCCTCGGTGTTATTTATATAAAGATGTAAGCTTAACAAGAAGGGAAAACAGGGAGGATAAAAAAGGGGGGGGGGGGGGNGCTAGGTAGGATCTAGGTTGGCTAGGAATGATCTAGGTTGGCTAGGTAGGATCTAGGTTGGTGAGGTAGGATCTTGGTTGGATAGGTAGGATCTAGGTTGGTTAGGTAGGATCTAGGTTGGTGAGGTAGGATCTAGGTTGGTTAAGTAGAATCTAGGTTGTTTAGGTTGTATCTAGGTTGGTTAGGTCGAATTTAAGATGGCTAGGTAGGATCTAGGTTAGCTAGCTAGAATCGAGGTTCGTTAGTTAGGATCTAGAATCGCTAGGTAGGATCTAGGTTGGTTAGATAGGATCTAGGTTGGTGAGGTAGGATCTAGGTTGGCTAGGTAGGATCTTGGTTGGCTAAGTAGGATCTAGGTTGGCTAGGTAGGATCTAGGTTGGTTAGAAATGATCTAGGTTGGCTAGGTAGGATCTAGGTTGGTGAGGTAGGATCTTGGTTGGATAGGTAGGATCTAGCTTGGTTAGGTAGGATCTAGGTTGGGCAGGTAGGATCTAGATTGGTTAGGTAGGATCTAGATTGGTTAAATAGGATCTTGGCTAGTTAGGGTAGGATCTAGGTTGGTTAGGTAGGATCTAGGTTGGCTAGGTATTATCTAGGTTGGCTAGGTAGGCTCAGTAACATTTCGTCTAGTACACTTTCGTCTAAGCTCACTTTTGTCTAGTTCATTTTCGTCTAGTTCTTTTTTGTCTAGTAACCTTTGGTCTAAGTAACATTTGGTCTAAGTAACTTTTGGTCTAAGTTACTTTTAGTAAGTAATTTGGTCTGAAAAAAATGTTAAGTGATTTTATATATACACTGCAAAAAAGGAGAAAACCCGTGAAATAAATCAAGAAATCCGCAATTTGTATAGGAGAAATTCTCCACTCTTCTAAAACACGTTGAACTGAGAGGAACTCAATGGCGGGATTAATTAGATACTCAACAAGGTTCACATTCTACAGAAGATTGTTACATCTTTCTGTAGACGCACTACTTCACGGAATCATCTCATTTAGGCAGTTTAGTTTTAGACCAAATTCCTTACTAAAAATTACTTATATCAAAAGTTACCTGGACAAAATGTTACTTACTCATTTCTTAAAGTTACTTAAACCAATTCTGTAGTTTTAGACCAATTTACTTACTAAAAGCTACTTAGACCAAATGTTACTAAGACCAAATGTTACTTAGACCAAATGTTACTCGACGAAATGTTATTAGACGAAAGTGTACTAGACGAAATGTTACTGAGCCTCTAGGTAGGATCAATGTTGGCTAGGCAGGATCTAGGTTGGCTAGGTAGGATCTAGGTTGGCTAGGAATGATCTAGGTTGGCTAGGTAGGATCTAGGTTGGCTAAGTAGGATCTAGGTTGGCTAAGTAGGATCTAGCTTGGCTTGGTAGGATCTAGGTTGGTTAGGTACGATCTAGGTTGGCTAGGTAGGATCTAGGTTGGCTAGGTAGGATCTAGGTTGGCTAGGTAGGATCTAGGTTGGATAGGTAGGATCTAGGTTGGTTAGGTAGAATCTTGGTTGGTTAGGTAGGATCTAGGTTGGTTAGGTAGGATCTAGGTTGGTTAGGTAGGATCTAGGTTGGTTAGGTAGGATCTACGTTGGCTAGATAGGATCTAGGTTGGCTGATGAGGATCTTGAGTTTAAAGGAAGCTACCTGCAATCATGTTCATGTCCCCAGATGACTAGATGAAAGAAGTCTGGCAGAAAGGATTCAGGAATATAATTTGTTGGGCCTCGTTTTGCCCTGAAATATTTATTCAATTAAAGGGACTGTAGACGTAATTTCAAGTGACCAGTTGCATTTCGCAGTTGCATTTCCGATTCATAACGGTGACCTTTACCAATGTCAGCTGAAGGACGAACAAAATATCCTTTACGTCAAACTAAACGTTTATTATTTTCAATTGTGATTTTAAAGAACAGTAAAAAATCACCGGAATTAACCAATTTTTAAACAGAAAAACGAAGATATCTTTTAAAATAAAAACCTGTTCTGATGTATGACCAGAATATAGAACCATTTGTCCTTATCATCGGGTGCTTCAAACACTACCTGGAAAATCAGACAATTTATCAATTTTATTTGATTAAATCGAGTTTCCTGAAAGTAACAGATCGTTTCATTTAATTAATTTTATGTTTCATTATATTCCGTTTCATTTTCTTATATTTTGTTACATTAGTTCCCCTTAGTGTTCATCTGTTCAGATAAGGGCTTATCTATTCTGTTTATCTGTTCCATAAGTGTTTATCTGTTCCATAAGTGTTTATCTGTTCCATAAGTGTTTATCTGTTCCATAAGTGTTTATCTGTTCCATAAGTGTTAATCTGTTCCATAAGTGTTTTTTTCTGTTTCATAAGTGTTTTTCTCTGTTCTTTAAGTGTTTATCTATTTCATAAGTGTGTATCTCTTCCATTAAGTGTTTATCTGTTCCATTACGTGTTCATTTGTTCCATTAATTGTTTATCTGTTCCATTTACTGTCTCTGTTTCATTTAGAATCTATATGTTTCATTAAGTGTTTATCTGTTCCATTAATTGTTTATCTATTCCATTTAGTGTCTATCTGTTTCATTTAGTGTTTATCTGTTTCATTAAGTGTTTATCTGTTTCATTAAGTGTTTATCTGTCCCATTAAGTTTTTATCTGTTCCATTAAGTGTTTATCTGTTCCATTTAGTGTCTATCTGTTCCATTATCTGTTTCGTGAATTTTTATTTGTTCCGTTCGAATTCGTTGCACTTAATTTCCGTTGCAACACGTTCCGTGCTATTCATTTCAGTTTAATTAAATTCTATCTAGGTTCACGATACCTTGTCCTCTCTAAGAAGGCGATGAAGTCTCTCATCCTTGACACTTGACAACCCGTAAAGAGCCAACCAGACGTTTCCCTTCTTCAATAGGATAGGGTTCACAGTTATCTGCTTCAAGCTGTCCACCTTCAAACACACTTCATCAAATTCATGGTTCTTGAAAATAATTCCCCCCTCCCCTACCCCACCAGAAATAGTTTTATTCACCCCTGAGTAAGAACTGTGAGATCCATATAACTTGAATTATGGGTTGTCCTTTAATAATAATAATAATATGTCTCACTGTATTAGGAGATGAAAATTAAAGGGGTCGCTCGCTAAAAAAAATGTTTTTTTTTTGGCAAAACATCCCCACGAAATATGTTGGCTGATATTGTTGGGTTGTTTTGTTTGCTGAAAAACTGCAATTCTACACTAATTGGGTGGTATAACACTTTCTGTCTAGTCTTCCTTGTAATGGCATTGAGTCCTTTTATGTACATTATACACTATGCAACATGATGTGAGCAGTACATTATACACTATGCAACATGATGTGAGCAGTACATTATATACTATGCAACATGATGTGAGCAGTACATTATACGTTTTAAAGAATACAATGGGATATACTGACCAACTGAATTTATTCTAAAATGTACAACAGACACCAATTTACATATTACTTCGATTAGCTTAAAATCTTATTTGTCTGAAGAAATGGAAAGTGAAAAATCTTAAGCCTTACAGTGTCGTTGGATGCCACATTATTTTGGGGACCCCTGTATAGTGTATATGATTGCGTATTATCTACCTTGCCGAAGTAGTTGATGTGCCTGCTCTCATGGAGTAGATCTAAGCAGGATTGACCTCCTAGACCACTAGGGTCATCATGGTTACCATGGATAGAGAATATAGGAAGAGCAACATTCAGGTTGGGGTCCTAGACAGCCAATAGTCGTAATAATCATCATCAATCAATTGAATTTTATTAAATCCGTTAACTCAATCAAGTGAATCATCTCAAATAACTTAATTATCTACACAAACCAAAACAATTGATTAAATTAAATTAATTAATAAAACCATTTCCACAAATCAATCAAGTCCATAAAATCAACTAAAAGAAATAAAAAAAAAATTAAACAAATAAAATAAAATAAAATAAATTAAGATATATCGATTAAATAATATGCAATCAATGAAATATCATCAATAGAATAAAATTAAAACAAACAAACAATCAAATTATGGAATTATTAAAAATACTATTTGTAAAATATTAGGTGATGACAAAAAAAAATATATTTTGTACCTCATAGTTGACAGATTTAGTTTGACAATGTGAGAAATCAACCGAGGGCTCAGATAGGTATTGAAGCATCACCGGGGCATCACCCATCACATGCTTTCTAAAATAAATAATGATAATAGTAATAACATTTTTCATAAAAATAATACTACTACTTATAATAATAATGTTAATAATGGTGAGAATGTTGAAAATGTTGAGTATGTTCAGAATGTTGAGAATGTTGAGAATGTTGAAAATGATGATGATAATGAAAATTATGATAATTACAAAGTGATAATTATGATAACAATGATAACAATGATTAAAATGATAATAATAAAGAATAATAAAAATAAAAATTTGAAAAGAAATGTTCTACTTTCGTAGTCGGCCATAGAATGGTTCTTCTTCATCATCATCATCATAGTAATAATAATAATAATAATATTTCATGAAAATGTACAGTGAGAATAAGTAAACTCAGGAACAGGAAGACAACTATTAGACTCAAGTTAAGAACTTTAATAGATCAATAAACATGAGAAACAGAATAACAGTAATCAGACCAATTCAACTCAGTAACTGGTTTTATAGCTATTGGTAAAACTATTTGCTTTATAAAACATCAAATGTGTCGCTTTAATGTCGTCTTCCTATTCCACAGTTTGCTGGTTCTCACTGTATAACAATGGTTGCCAGAATAAAAGTGGAGAAAAAAATTTTCAAACAATAATCCAAATTCAATATTTATATCTAAGAGTTAAAAATAAGAAACTATACATTAAAGATTTCCTACCCCAGTATTGAGATGCACTTGATCTGAGCTAACCGAGAAGGTTTATTATCATGAAACAGGTCTCCTCCTAGACCATTTAAAATTAACATTCAAATTCAAATACATCATTTTTTCCTTTTATTTCATTTTTAAGGTATCTAGCTAAACAGTTCGCATTCAAGGGAATTGAGTCTTTGCCACCAACTCAGATTTTCTAGCCTCTAAATCTTTGCAACCTGATGGCTTGATCTGATTTGATTTGATTCGGTTTAGATTGGTTGGGTAGGAACCACAGAGACTGGACAGAACACCCAACCATGAAAACCATGTGGCAGCCAGGTCAAGAACTGACATCAGATTTAACTATTTTACAAACAGAGTTGTATCAAATGGAGTGGACAGATGTTCAGGGCTCAAGAACTTTAAACATTTTCAAATCTGAACTTGATGAATTGTTCAACTAATCCCTTTACTTGTGTATTTGAGTTGTGTACGGAGTCTGCTGAGAACCCATGAGAACCAGAATGATCAGAACACTACTTCGGAGGACATGACAAGACATTCCTGCCATACTCCTAGTCCTACCTGGAGTCCGAGTACTTGGATTTACATCACAAATATCAAGTATCAAACAAAATTCGTAATTTGAAATATTTAAGGGCTATGTCAATGGGTTGCAAAGATATAGGGATTAGATATTCATACTTTGTGACAAACCCTCTTTGTAAGGTGGGCGAGAATGCATTTAGTATTTTATACAGGGGGGGGGGGGGTTCGCTGTTCTAGTGGTTGGGACTAAAAAACCCTTAATGAACCATATCCGCCACTTTTTCAGGTAAAGGCCCATTCAATTCAATTCAACCACAACACCCCTAACCAGCTTAGGAAAAAATTTGAGGTTTTGTCACTTTTATTACCTAGTATACAGACATCGACGCCCTGCTCCCGGCCAATACCCAGAAGTTCGTCAAAGGCGACGAAGCTATCGTCTCCTCTGATTGGTAGCTTCTCACCAAACCCAAGGTGTATATCACTACTGACTAATATCCTACAAATAATAATCATTAAGTATGATTCACAGAATATTAACAAGTATTCAAAACTTCTTCCAGAGAAAACGATAGGAATATATTTGTTCAACTTTCCAAAATAATACAAAAAACTGAATTTCTTAAATATTTCTAAAATTGTCTTGTTTTACATTTAAGTTTGCTCATTTATTAGGCCCCACATTGGAACACTATTACTCAATTGTAGACTTAAAAAGAGACTGTAGACAATCATTTAAGCTGTGCCAGATTTACAATGGTACCCTTTAAACTTGACATAAAAAATAAGTTTTCAATTCTGGTTAAGACATGAATTAACTTGAAAATTTCTGCTTCAGAAACATTGAGAATAACACTTTGCATGCTAGAAATACGACGTTATATTCCACTTATTATCTCGTAAAATATTTATTTAAAAACTTAATTTCTCTTTATCCGAAGTAATGATAATACATAAACAGTTACCGAATAATATCATCATTGTCATCTCCCATTCTAAATCTGAAAACAATAAATTTATACTAAACTGATATCAAAACAAATTTATTTAAACATACTAAAACTAATTTGGTAATTTTTACAAAAAAAAATACAAGTTTCGAGTAGTAGAACTGCAAACTGTACAACAAGCTGGCGTACTAAGTGCGGTTCAATTTATTCTAGGCTGAATATAGAATAGGGCATTGTATATTAAAATGTCTGATATAACATTTCAAAACTATTTGGTTTGAATAAGTACAACTAAATACACAGCATGCTTAATCAAAAGCAAATAAAACACATTCCAGAACAGACCTATAGAGAACAAAAAATATTTGCTATTTCACATAATCAGTACACAGATCGAATGAAGAATTATTTTAAGTCTATTTCAAACCAGTACTTGAATATACTTCTGTGAGTATACATTTCGAGACATGTTTAGTACAAGCTATTTAGTAAAGGAGACTTTACATTTAAGTACAAAACATGTGTATTTCTATTTACAAAACACATATTAAAGGACTTTAAGTGTAATTTCAAGTAATCCTCCATGCAAAGCTGACAATGCCCGCTTTAATTAGTCTTAGAAAACACGGGAAACCCGACCCAACTGCCCCCTCATTAGATAATGAGATGTTTGCCTTAGGGTACGGGCCTGAATTAGATATTCAATTCACGTTTAAGTTTTTTTCATTTGAGGTTTAACGACAAGTTGCTTGCGCATTTCATGCTTCATATCAAATCATATTTTTATTCAACTACAAAGCACGAGATAATCAAAAAAAAATCACAATTTACTATGTAGTTTGGACCCGCCTAACCAGAGTTGGTTGTTTTAATTGGTTGGCCCACTATAAACGAATGAGAATTGCAGATAAAAACAATGTACATTGTACATTTTAAACATAAGAATGATGATAAATCAGGAAAAAGGTAAGGAGGAGTTGAGGGAGTATACGGGAAAGGGAGGATACTCAGCGTAAGGGTTGGAACAGAGGGTAACATAAGTTATTAGAATCATGTTTATGAACTACAGGGTGAAGAGGATAGTAAAGACTAAGTTTATCCACATGATACACAGTTTTTTTACACATATAATTTGCGTAACTATCTAAATAGATCTTGGCAACTTTTCTTTTAAACGATTTTGCAGATTTAGTTTCTTTCAGCTCTAATTCAATCGAATTCCATATTTTTGGAAATAAAGCAGAGGGAAAACATTCTAGAGTTTTAAAGAGAACCCGTTCAAGTTTATATGATTTTGTTCTATTTGGTTCAGCTAAAGAATTACTAGAAGAAATTAACAGAAATAAACACTTTTTGAGCAAGAAAAGCGAGTTATCTTGCACTTTATTGATCAGATAAAGGTTTCAAGGATACCATTTTATATCAGGCATTCCTATCTTGTCATGGAGGGTCACTTAAAGATAAGCTTTACAGTCCCTTCAGGTTGCTGTTGTTTACATGACGTAGACCTTCTCCATCTCAGTAAAGGAATATATCTCCTTGGTTCGTGGGCACACAACCTGACCTTCATTCAAATCAGCCATACTCCGCAACGCCTAGCAGAAACAATTATTAAATTAAAAGGCTTTAAAAATCTTAGGCGCTTCGCGTGTCTTTTTATCAAAATAGTTACACCTGCGTCCATTTTACTTTGAAGCTTTTGAACAAATAACGATAAAATTTATATTGAGGTACGCAGATTTTACTGCTTTCATTCACGAATTTTTTAAAAATTTTAAATTAAAAATTAATGCATAATTATCCTTAAATTTCTAAAATTCACATCTTCAGTCGTCAAATAAGGTTGGTATCAGGGCTAATCAACAGTTTTTTTTTACACAACTACACAATCCAACACATATTCATATGCAGATATGCATTAGATAAAATTCAGTACTCCATGATATACGAGACTAGAACTAAAAGCACTTCTCCCCCCCCCCCTATCCCCATATTAGAAACCCCAGCCCGCCACGCCATCGAGGAGTAACTTGCCTGCTCTCCATAAACATATCCGTTGGGAAGCATCATCGGTAGATTATTCTCGTTTAGTAGTGTACCAGACATATAGCAGACTAAGCGGGATTGCGAGCAGTGCGAGTATGGTAGACCTAAAAACAAGGAAACAATCATTTTCAGAGTTATAAAGTTTCAAAGTTAAAAATTACAACATACGAAGAAACGTTTAAAATAAACACAATAAAGACGACTTTTATACTGTTTTACCCTGGTTGGGCCTCAGCTAAAAAAGGTTTACTCACCAACTGCCAGAGCATTGAGAGAAGGATGACAAACTGGACATTCAATATTCCTCTCCTCATTTCTGTGCTTCAACTCCTTGAAACAATAAATGAACATTTTTAGGATTTGAAATCAGCACAAACAAATCCAACTCTTGGGATACACTTCCTGAACACAAATATTCTAGGTAGTATTCCTACCTGCATATACCTGGGTAGTATTCCTACCTGCATATATCTGGGTAGTATTCCTACCTGCATATATCTAGGTAGTATTCCTACCTGCATATACCTGGGTAGTATTCCTACCTGCATATACCTGGGTAGTATTCCTACCTGTATATACCTGGGTAGTATTCCTACCTGCATATATCTGGGTAGTATTCCTACCTGCATATACCTAGGTAGTATTCCTACCTGCATATATCTGGGTAGTATTCCAACCTGCATATATCTGGGTAGTATTCCTACCTGCATATATCTGGGTAGTATTCTTACCTGCATATATCTGGGTAGTATTCCAACCTGCATATACCTGGGTAGTATTCCTACCTGCATATATCTAGGTAGTATTCCAACCTGCATATATCTGGGTAGTATTCCTACCTGCATATATCTGGGTAGTATTCCAACCTGCATATAACTAGGTAGTATTCCTACCTTCATATATCTAGGTAGTATTCCTACCTGAAAATAACTAGGTAGTAGTCCTACCTTCATATATCTATGTAGTATTCCTACCTGCATATAACTAGGAATTATTCCTACCTGCATATAACTAGGTAGTCCTGCGAGTATATGTTGACCCTGCTGGCTGTAGCAGTGCTGGGTTTTGAGCGAGGATAGTCCAGCCTGAAGGGTCACATTCAGTAGAGAGATAGAACTCAGCTGATGTAGTTTATAGTTCTCAGTCCTTAACAATAAATCAAATCAATTAACTAGGTTAAACCCCTCCAACTCTTCAACAAACCCTCCAACCCACCCACTCTTCAACAAACCCTCCATCTAACCCTCCAACTAACCCTCCAACCCACCCTCCAACCCAGCCTTCAACCAACCCTCCAACTAACCCTCCAACTAACCCTCCAACCCACCCTCCAACCACCCAATTACCCAACCAACCAACCAACCACCCAATTACCCAACCAACCAACCAACCAACCAACCTACCAACTAACTAACCAACTAACCAACCAACCAACCAACAAATAACCCCACAGGCTAACGAACAAATCAACCAGCCAACCTGAATTGTTGAACAATAGTCTGCCATCTAGCCTGATCTAGAAGATCTCTGTAAGGCTGAACGGGTGTATTCAGAGGGAAGGCTAGCAAGCCCATAACCTGCTGAACTAAAGCTAAAAAAATATTTAACTAAAATTTGTATCTGGGTCATAAGAAGATATAACTAAAAAAATGTTCGTTTATATCAAGGTTTGTTTTCTTTTCAATTATCACAAAATAGTTAAGATAAAATTAAACACAAGAATTTAAACCTAATACGAATTTGGACGTCGTTCAACTAGTTTGCATACAAAATGTATAACATCCAAATTTGTAACATAAAAATAAAAAAATTTTCTTCAGATTAGATTTAGGGGATGGTCAGTCACAGCTTAAACACTTGCCAAGTCGTCTATGATTTGCCAACTAAAAGTGTAGACCCACTCTTTCTAAATAAATTGCGCGACTAAGAAATGATCTTCACCTAGCTGTGAAGAATCGTCTGAAGCTAAGAATTTTCTGGCATGATGAACAGCTTCTAGTCGTTTACCAGCTTTAATATACTCTATAAATTCCTAAATATAAGTATTAATTTTATCAAAAAGTTTCATCATCCGAAGTTTAGTGTTACCTGTATTCTGACATTGAACTCCAGAGATGATTTCATCTTCCTGAGTTTAGATTTATTCTCGTGGCACCAGGCTAAGCACTTACTGATATCTCCTTTATCAATTCAGTGATTTTAGTTTAATTCAACTAATTAATGTTAATGAAATGTACAGTCATTGTTAACTTATTCAGTAAATTATTTTACTGGAAGTGTTGTTTATTCCCAGAATAACCTTTCCTTAAACCTTTCCTTATACAGAAGTATGGAAAATCAAATCTATAAAATATGGTTGTTTTTCTAAATTAAGAAGTGTGCAGTTCTGACAGTGTTTCTGTAGCAGAAATCCACAGGTTACTTTTAGCAAATAAATTTAATAACACACAATTTTTTAAGTTGAAAGAACACGTCACTTGAGGGACGCTTGAAATTACGTATACAGTCCCTTTATTAAAGTCCAAATACCTGCATTCAATGATTCCTCGACTTCCTTGGCTGCCAGAAATACTTCTAAGTTTACAAGATCACAAATGTCTACAAAAAAGATATTTTTACGAATAAAAAGAAGGTATTAATTTATAGTGTTTAGGGATGGATTTTTCTACATATGGTTGATACTAGACCCGGCATAAATAAAATCGGATTAAAATCATCGCTTAACATCTTTAACCAAAAACTGTAAAGGGTTCATCCTATAAGACCTTTGTATTAAAAAACTTATAAATGCGCGAAAAAAAACTGAAAATGACGCTAGGAGAATTTCTCTACCTGAGGATTTACTCAGCTGAAGAGCAGATTCATAGAACCCAGCTCGAAGAAAATGTTCTACGAGGATCCGTTCTAGTCTCAGCTTCATAAACTGTTTCTCCTGGGCCCTAGTCAATCCTTCTTTGCATCCTTCAGACAGATGCTCTGATCGCCTAGACATTTACTACATAACAAGAGGGGTTTAAAACGCTCAGCGGTGATGTTTAAATAGAGGCATTCATTTTAACATTGATTCAATATTATCTACATCTAAATCTAGACTATATTTTCTCGATGAAAAAGTTTGATGTCATTTTTTCGTTTTGGAGGGTGGAAAAAATATTTTAGTTTTTCTTGGAAAAAAGTTTAAAAAAGATTTAAGCTCATAGAAAACCTTTCTTGTATCCAGAATATGATATTACAGCTGTCTACTTGTCAAGACAATGTCAGGTTTTCCATTTTCGAACATATCCTGAATTTGATACATAATCGCGTTTTCGAGAAAAAAAAACCATTTTCTCGTTTTTGAGTATAATCCGCAATTCAAACCAAAACTCACTTTCATAACTTACAAAATAAATCACTGAAAACAAAAATTATCTGATGAAAACTAAATTAACTCGTTAATTATTTTTAGATTCAAAGTTTCCACATTTTTTAAATGCTCAAAAATTGACATTGATAAGAATTCCGGTAATTGTCTCAAAACTAGGATATGTTCCGAAAACACGACATGAGCTGAAATCCGGTAATTGTTTCAAAATAGAGATATCTTCGAAAATGAAATCAAGAATAATCAAAACCTAATTCTCACACCTTATTATTAGTTTAAAATTGACATTTATTGTTTCAAAATAAAGTTTTAGCCATTTGGCGGCGGTCTGGGGGGTCCACATTGGGGCCTCTTACAAATTCCACTTCCTTATGATTCTTTAATCCTTAAATGGTGTTATTTTGTTCTACTCGTCTTGGATTAAAAGATAACTTTGCAGGTTTGGCTCATTTTTAACACTCAGTGTTAGAATTTGGGCCAAGTGTTAGTTTTGGAACTAATATCCCCTGTATTTATTATTTAAATAATATATAAAAATGTTAAACCTCTTGCAAACTCTGCCGGTTACAAGAACATCTTCTACTGCTTCACGACTCTTCTCCCTGAGCTGCTCCAGCTGCTCCTTGATCTTGTCTAGCTTACTGAGAGCAGTAGCAGTATCCCCCTCCTCCCCGGTATACAGGGTCTCAAGCTCAGACAGTGAGTTAGATACATGATTTACCTCACGGTCTATCACCTCAACAATCAAATAAAAACAAATTTAAAGGGACTGTCGTAGCAATATTAAATTACCTTCCAATTAGAGAGGGCAATGCATGATTCATAAAGATACTCTTTAAACCTTTATTTGATCATTAATGATAAAGATATCGCCGTTATTCCAGCTTTAATTCTCACAAATTCCACCATTGTTTCTCTCGCAAGAAATCCGCATATCACTTTCATATAGAAACCACAATTAACCAATTTTTAGAGGAAATCATGGATATCGAATTGATTCCTGATCAGTGATCAGCCAAAGCTGTTAAGGGTCTCGTTGTGCTCAATCAAATCAGACTTTTGGGAATGTCCATTCAATTCTTCACTTGAAATTAAGTCTACAGTTCCTTTAAATGTAAAGATTTTCTTTAGGTGCCAAAATTCAACAAACAAAGAAGAGAAGTCGAATAGTAAATTAATCAATTAATCTGTCAGCTAATTAATTGTCAATTTTTATAAGCAAATTTAAATTTAAGACTGATAAAAGAATTTATACCTTCTGTGATGATCTGAATTTCTTGTTCAATATTTCATAAGGAACCTTGAGGGTCGGATGCTCCAAGGATTTCACGTCCATTCTTCAAACCGCCATTTTCTTCTCTGTAATTACATACGAGAATATTTATGAATAAGATCTTCCTGGAGCAGACTTAAATATACGATCTAATAATAATTAACAGGTTATAAATATATAAACAATTTGATAAATCCTTGCGACGTACATATTATCACAATTATATTCTACAATAACAAGAACAACAGAAGAACAAGGCTGAATGCTAATCCCGCAAACCTTGTACCAACAATTTCAAGGACTGACATCAGAAGGAGTTTCTTTAGTATTTGAGTACTAGATCTATGGAACAAACTACCATCTCATGTTAAAAGTTCAACCTCTATCAATATGAATCACGATATGAAGATTACTTATGCACAAGAACTGTTGATGCTATCCAAATCCAGCCTTAAAGAAGTTCAAGAGTTCATTGCCTGGCTGATAGTCTCGTAATGGTCCCACTGGGACTGCTGAGAATTACCACAGAAGTATTCTAGTATGTTAGCTATGTATTATACTTGTGTAGAATGGCTATGTCTTAGAAGTATACTAGTATGTTAGCTATGTAGTTTACTAGTGTAGAATAGCTATATCTGAGAAGTATTCAAGTATGTTAGCTATGTAGTATACTAGTGTAGTATAGTTATATCTGAGAAGTATTCTAGTATGTTAGCTATGAAGTATACTAGTGTAGTATAGCTATATCTGAGAAGTATTCTAGTATGTTAGCTATGTAGTATACTAGTGTAGAATAGCTATATCTGAGAAGTATTCTAGTATGTTAGCTATGGTAAAATCTAAAGATATCTGTGCTCCAGGATAGCATCTCTGTAATAGCTCTTCAATATATTTATATTGTCGGATAAATTCATCCTGCATAGCATGCCACACAACCTAGAAAATTAAAATTAAAAAAATTTGTCTTAACATTACAGAGGCTTGGATTGAGCCATGGCAATATTAATTGAACAGGCAAAGAAATCTTTAAAAGATATTTATGATTTGGTTTTCAACATTACTTTGATAGTTTTATATAATAAGAGAAAGACCCTTAAACTATGGAATAGGAAGATGACTGACGCAATAATGCTCTTCAATAGTTTAACGAACTTAATAAACAGTTATCGCGCAGTTTAAACAAACCCATTTTATAGGACAAGTTGATTTCCAAACTACTGGTAAAACTATTCCCTTAAATTTTAACGACATCCAATACACAACAGGGCCTGTAAGATTAATTAAATGTCGTCTTCATATTCTTCATTATCTATATTTTTGTTAACTGATTTAAAAATCGAGAACAATCGCTTTAATTCTAGATTTTGTACCTGGAGAAGGTTTTCCTCCTCGGAGAGATGTTTCTCTACTTTCCTGTAGAGATCAGCTAAACCCTTCTTCACCTCCTTGCCAGGGTACGCAGATAATACCTGCATCATCATTATCATCACTATCATCACTATCATCACTATCATCACTATCATCACTATCATCACTATCATCACTATCATCACTATCATAACTATCATCACTATCATCACTATCATCACTATCATTACTATAATTACTATCATCATTCTCATCATTCTCATCATTCTCATCATTCTCATCATTCTCATCATTCTCATCACTATCATCACTATCATCACTATCATCACTATCATCACTATCATCACTATCATCACTATCATCACTATCATCACTATCATCATTCTCATCATTCTCATCATTCTCATCATTCTCATCATTCTCATCATTCTCATCATTCTCATCATTCTCATCATTCTCATCATTCTCATCATTCTCATCATTCTCATCATTCTCATCATTCTCATCATTCTCATCATTCTCATCATTCTCATCATTCTCATCATTCTCATCATTCTCATCATTCTCATCATTCTCATCATTCTCATCATTCTCATCATTCTCATCATTATCATCATTATCATCATTATCATCATTATCATTATCATCATTATCATCATTATCATCATTATCATCATTATCATCATTATCATCATTATCATCATTATCATCATTATCATCATTATCATCATTATCATCATTGTCATCATTGTCATCCTTATCATCCTTATCATCATTTTCATCATCTCAAATATCATCTGTAAAGCCATTATTATTATCTTCCCCCTGCCCCTATCAAAGTTATAAACCACTTTTACCTTTCTAAGTTCCTGTTTACTGAAAGAGAGTTGGTAACTTATCTCAGCTTCTTTAACTCCTATATACAACATTAATAATAATAATTAATTACAAATTAATTAATCGTTGACAAAAACTTAACTAACCTGAAGAAAGTTTAGCTGAGACCCCGTCAAAGAATTGGTTTACTTTTTCCAGTGGTCTAAATAGATTATTATATCAATATTTATCGACGAGTGTATAACAATGTAGCTGCAAAACTAGTTGGCTGGTTTTAGTAACATGAAAAAAGTTTCTTTTTCGAACATTAAAAGGTTTGAGTATCCATCTGCCATTCATATCATAGAAAAAATTTTAGTAATATTTAGCGAAAATTAGTATCATATTTGTTGTAACATTTGTGTTTAAACACAAACCTTTAACATTAGATTTTATGGTCATTTTTAACACAAGTTAGACTTGAAATTAATTATTAACAAGAAGTAAGTAGTTGACTTACCTTCCAAAATACTGAGTGACATAGTTCTGTAGTGCATCTGCATACCTAAACAATGCATATTTTAGAATAAAACTAAATAATTTTTTCCTATTTGATGATTGATAATCGGACAATGACATGTTGGACTTGAAATCTGACATGACATGTGTCCACAGTCCAATTATTTATGAAAAAAACTATATTCTCCGAACGTTTACCTTTGCTTAGCATCTCTGCGTATATTGTCAAGAACTGGGATCTTGAGAGATGATAGTTCAGCGTGGAGATGATGGAAGTTTTCCATCTTTACAACCTCCTGGGGGGTCCTACCATGCTCCTTAGCAATCCTGTAAACATATATTATCTATCTATCCATCTTTACAACCTCCTGGGGGGTCCGGGCCCTAGTCAATCCTTNTTTTTATATTTTAAGGATTTAATAATTATCTATATGTTAAACAAACAAAAAGAATAAGGGACAGGGGCATTAATTTTTTTAAGATTTGGGAGGGGGGGTGCTAACATGCTTTTCAGAAAATCTACCTTTCAACCTATCTATCTACCTACCTACGTATCTTTATTTATATATCTTCAATTTCTTATCTTGATCCATTTTAAAGGTCATATGATTATGTACAACCCCATTGTAAACTCACCTAGGAATGTTGTCCATGATTGAGGTTAGTATTGTGAGATACCATTTCTCTATATCTGTTCTTCTATCAGACCTTCTATATCAAAATAAAAATTATAGATTTTTTAATTTGACTTAACCTATATTTCGAAGAAATCATTAAAAATAATTTTATATATATGCCTAAAATACAGTAGGACACCAAAATCTGTAGATTAGCTTAATTAATTAATTAATACTCAAATTATTGTTTTTAAATCCAAAAAAAAAGACAAACAAATGGTAAAATTATTTGCTTTTAAACAACATCAAATATAAAAAAGATTGTATGAAGGTTGTCTTCCTATTCCATAGTTGAATTAGTCAAACTAAACTTATATCTTTCCGTCTAATTTTTGTTTTTATCATCATTATTTTAATATTACTGACCTAAATATAATCTCTGTAGAGCTAAGAAATTCTCCCAGGTTTGAAACCATATTGAGAATACCACACCTAGAAAAAAGTTTTATAACAAAATTTGACAGAAAAGAAGAAAAATCATAAAATTTATAAATTCAATTTTACTCTTCAGAACTTACTGTCAATTTTCCTGATTGTTTTTAGTTAAGTTTAGGTTATGACACTAAATAGTCCCATTAAGAGCTCGATGATTTAGCTCAATCGCTGCATGAGCCGCTCTTACCAACTTACTTTGTTCTACGCGGTGGTTTAGCGTCCTCTACACTACGGAGCTGTGCTTGCATCAACTTATCAAAGTTCCGCTTTGTATGGATCAAAGCAGACCCGAGGGTAATTGCTAGGAAGGAACCTGTGTCCTGGGCCTGAAATTTGTTTTTATTACGTTTTGTTAATTTTTTTTTATTTTTTGATTATTTGGTTTTTTCTATTAATTTTTTATTTTTTGATAATTTTGCGACCTCTTTTGCTTAATCATGTTTATTTCATATGGAGCTATTTTTGTAGCTTTCTATTCAACATTTTGACGTTTCTGCGGTTTTTGCTATTTTTAAACAATTTAAATTTTGTGTAACCTGAGTAGAAATTGATTTTTTTATTTAGTAGCTGTCCTATATTTTAAAATGGTGTCTTGGTAATACTTTTTTTTGTTTAAATTGTTGTGTTTAACAAGATTCAACATCAACACTGTTGAGTTTAAACTGAACATGAACTCACCTGAAGTACATGTGCAGAGAGGCGTACATAGCTGAACATCGAGTTGAGATTATCTGATCTCTCGAAGTGTTCGAGAAACTTGATGAGCTCTACCTCCATACTACTGAAGATCTGGCTCATCATACTCCGCAGCTCCTCAGTAACCTTAAAAAACAAATATATATATTTACACTTTCAACAATCAGGGGGGGAGTATGCGGCTGCCCCCCCCCCTAAAAACTAAGTGATTGAACATTGAACATTTTTTGGCAAACAAGGGAAAAGGGGGAAGCTCCTTTAAAAAAAATCCTGCAGCACCCCATTATACGTCAATAATTATTAAAAACTCCCAAACTGGCAAACATTTTGAATCAATCATCATACATACACCAAGAAGGGCGGGGGGCATTAAACATTAATATAACACTAGAAGCTTAAAATTCGGCATGTTGTTTCTTATTGTCACAACAATCTTTTCGTCGAAACATTTTTAAAAGTTTTAAAATACGCAGGACAAGACGTAAAATCTAAAATAAAAGCAAAAAACAAAATAAGCGTATTTCTAGGCATTGATTTATATTACCGGGCTAATTATTCTCTGTTTCTCAAGAATTTTCCACAAAATGTACTAACGCAAAATAAAGATTTGAAGACATTTCATTAAATGGATTTGTTATTTTTTGCGGTTACCAGTTTGTTGGTTATTGTTGCTTGTAACATAATTTTTTAGTGGTTTTATATCTGACCATCTTCTGTTAAAAAATCCGTGATCTTTTGCACTGTTTGTTCGTTTGCCAGGTTGTGAACTCGGAAGTTTTACAAGTTGTTTTTAGTTTATATTAGTATATGTACGTAGGATATTAATATTGCATGAACTAATTGCAACGTTTTTTATCCTTGTTTTCCAAAAAAAAAATTTTTTATGCGATTATATTTTTTGTTGAAATGTTTACATGATGCTTAAAACATTTGTAGTGTTTGAGGAGGGGGGGGGCAGAAGTAAACAAACCCCACCCAAACGTGTTTTGCGGCATGCACGCTCGTTAATTGGTAATCAGAAATAAAAAAAATAACATTAAACCGTTTATTTCTTAGAAATAAGACCATATTGACCTCTGTTAATGGTCTATGGTGTACAAAATTGTTAAAGCTTTCTTTATTGTACCTCAGTTTCGAAAATAAATCTATAAATATGCCACATAAAGAACTAAAATTACCTTTTTAAACCTTTGCGCATGCGCGCTCCTCAATTAGCAATGAAGCGCTAGAAATAATTACTGAACTTAATACTTCATTTTCACTAGTGGGCGCGATGAGACCGATTTTTCCAATTTTTTTTGTTCTTTCTATGCATGTAATTAGTTTTGTTGTAGATGTTGAACTCGAGTAGGCGAATACAAAAATCTAAACAAGCTGTAGAGGTTTTTCGAAAATGTCTTTTAAATGGAGATAGATATTACTTTGAGCGCGGTGAGATAATTTTTAGTAAACAGGCAGCCCGACATTTTAGTACCTTAACTCCAATCATGAAATGCAGTCATTAAATCAGCGAATTGGATCTAAGATTCGTAATTTTGGATGGCGTTTGTTTACTTCTGCACTCCCTCCCTGGTTGGAGTTACTTGAGTTCTTTTGTATTTACGCTATGTTGCTTATCAGTTTTATTCTTGTTGGTTTGTTTGTATTCTTTTTTGTAAACTATCTTTTCTTCTACATTTATCGTAATTTTGATTGGTTTGCCATTTCTGTTTGTTACAAGTTACACCAGCCATGTATCGGTTTGGTATTTATTAGTTTCTACCTGTTTTTGTATTTTGATTTTAACACCAGACTTATTGGTATTGTATTTATTAGTTTCTACCTGTTTTTGTCTTTTGATTTTAACACCAGACTTATTGGTATTGTATTTATTAGTTTCTACCTGTTTTGGTATTTTGATTTTAACACCAGACTTATTGGTATTGTATTTATTAGTTTCTACCTGTTTCTGTATTTTGATTTTAACACCAGACTTATTGGTATTGTATTTATTAGTTTCTACCTGTTTTTGTGTTTTGGTTTTAACTCCAGACTTATTCACAGATATGTCAGACACCTAAATATATCATGTTTAAACAAGACATTTCCCATATTTTAAAATTGCTTATTTTTATATTTTAAGGATTTAATAATTATCTATATGTTAAACAAACAAAAAGAATAAGGGACAGGGGCATTAATTTTTTTAAGATTTGGGAGGGGGGGGACGGTTTATGTGAAATAGGACATCCCTCTCCTTAAAGCTTTTTATTAAAAAAGCATTTAGAATCATACGAAGTAGTAGGACAATAAATTAGAATATATGGTATATTTCCGACTAGATACATTGGATTAAAAACCTTATACAAGCCTCGACCCATCCCCCCCCCCCCTACCTTGGAATCCATCTTGAAGAACTGAAGACAGAAAGTCTGTTCCTCTAGTACAACAGGTTCAAGGCAAGACAAAAGATGCTCCAGGCTAACATCAAACCTGGATAAAAAATAATTCATTTTAGCTTAACTGTTCCAATTTAGTAATCACCGTTTTTAAAAGAGGTTTAGGAAGGATCGAATTAAAGTAAGTTGTCGATAAATATTTATCAGATAAGTATTAAAGGGACCGTAAGCCTCCATGCCAAGATAGCAAAACACCTAATTTACAATGATACCCTTGAAACCTTTATCTGATCAACTATGTGGAGTATATTGACGTTTTAAAAAAATGTTAAGTTTTAATCCTGATAATTCCTACTTTTTTCAGCAGATTTTCAGTTTTCAAAAATGTAAACATCAATATCTTATTCATATTTGATCAGACAAAACTTTCAAGGGTACCGTTGTGAATAGGGCATTGTCAACTTTTGATGGAGGGTCACTTGAAATTAAGCTTACATCCCTTTAAGCATTTTTATTCGAGCAACCGCAATTTTTTTTGCCTTTGTAGCCTAATGGATCAGCTAATATATATGAATGTTTAATCTTAATCTCACCAAAAGACAAATCTTTTAATCAAAATTGTGTTAATGTGAAAAGAAAATCAAGACATAAATTTTTTTTTTATAATTAAAATCTTACCTCTCTCTGTCCGATTTGTACGTGCCTGGACCCCAGGTATCTCTATCTGAAGCTAGAAGCTGAGTTGCTGAACTCACACTTAGCTTTCCAGATTTTTGTCTCAGATCCTGGCTAGCAGCTGCTGAGGGACCTGCCCCGCCCACTCGGAGATACGCCTCCTCAAGAAACCGAGCCAGGTCACGCTCATACAACTTTATCCAAACAGTGTTATTGTACTTTATAAAGGCAAAAAATGTTTCATTTTTTCAAAATATTTTTCAAATGTCCAGGAAGACCAGAAATAAATTAGACAGGGAAATATCGTACCATATGCAACAAAATATACATATTTAACACACACAAAAATTACTGAGTTCCTTTCCTGATGAGTTTTTTAAAAGCAATTTTCTGAAAATATTTGCCTTAAATTCAACTACTCAATAAATGAATAAGTAAAAAATGGAAAGGTGGAGGGGGGGGGGGGAAATAAAGACAACTATTCTTTCCTTGGATAGATTATTAGTATAAGTTTGCTGAAGCTGATGGAAGGATTTAGGTTCAACTTGCCTCAACCAGTGCATCAGCTGTCCATAGGGAGCTAACTCCTAGATATATAGAAAATCAGCTGTCCACAGGGAGCTCACTTCTAGATATACAAATAATCAGTTGTCCACAGGGAACGAACTCCTAGATGAATAGATAATCAGCTGTCCATAGGGAGCTAACTTCTAGATATACAAATAATCAGCTGTCCACAGGGAACGAACTCCTGGATGAATAGATAATCAGCTGTCCATAGGGAGCTAACTCCTAGAATTAGATAAACTGATAATGAGCTCTTCATAGGGAGCTAACTCCTAAAATTGAAAATAAAGATAATCAGCTGTCCATAGGGAGCTAACTCCTATATATACAGATAATCAGCTGTCCATAGGGAGACAACTTCTAGATAAACAGATAATCAGGTGTCGATAGGGAGCTAACTCCTAGATAAACAGATAATCAGGTGTCAATAGGGAGCTGACTTCTAAATATACTGATAATTAGCTGTCCATAGAGATAAAACTTCTAAATAAATAGAAAAACAGCTACCCATAAGGAGCTAACTCATCCTACCATCCTTCCATCCTTCCATCCTACCTTATGAATATTTCTGCGGATGGGTAGAGTAGGTTTAGCTGTATTGAGAGCAAGGTTTTCTCCAGGATCGTTTCCAACATGGATAAAGGAGTTGTTCATATGTCGGCATAAGTTCTAGAAAAATAAAAACGTATGTTATAAAATATTTAGACATTTGAGAAAATTAATGTTGGAGATTGGAGAACCATTAAATCAGTAAAATGAATGATTATCAATAAAAGTTACCTTAGAAAATTTTTCTTTCCATCTATCACATCTTTTCCGCTGTTCCTGGACTGCTGCCATCTTCGTCAAACTGTAGGGTATAGGAGCCAACAGAGCGGAACTTAACGCCTAGGTAAATTATCAATAATGTTCCCAAAACAAAGTTCAAAAGTAATTCTGGACTTTCCAGACATTATTTAAACTTTACAAATAATTATTAACGATCCAGAAATTATGTAAAAAATGTTTAATGTTCCAAGAAACTATTATTTTAAACGTTCCAAAGAGAAGCATACAATTACATCACAAACTAAGGCTAGGAATTGCTGATAAAATAATTTGGTTTGATTTCTTTTCTTATCGAAATAATTAATATCATTAGGGGGGNGGGCATTCGTTTTTCGGAATCTGAAACAAAAAATGGAGGTATTTAGTATACCTGAGCTGCTTCTATGATGACAGGAAGCATATCTCTGTTTGAGAAATCTGCCTCACTCAGAATGGCCTAGAAATAAACACATGGTACTTTTCGAATTTTCATTAAAAAAAATATATAAAACTCGTTTTTAAAGGCAAGAAATCCAGATTTGATGGCCAAAAAGATTGATTTCTTAACTAGCAAGATATTATTGCAAGTCAGTGAGTTCTCAAAATAAGGTCAGAATTCACACCCGCATACTGGAATGTTTTTTTTGTGTGGGGGGGGGGCGAGGTACCTTTTAAACAATACCCTTTAAACTTAACCTGACCTAAAATGAGGAAGATATCGTCGTATTTTTCTCTGGAAAAGTGTTGAATTCTGACCATTTACTTTTTTCAGCTTTTTTAAAGAGAAGTCCCAGTTTTAAAAACAGAGTAGAGTGATATCTTTATCATTTTACTCAGACCAAGGTTTAAAAGGTAGCATTGTGAACCATACATGCCAGTCTATAAATTATTTACTTCAACAATCAATTAAACCTTTTCCTTAGTATGTAGTAGAGTAATCAGGGGCGTATTCAGAAATTTGTCCAGAGGGGGGCTAACATTTTATTTTCTTTCCAGGAGAGGGCTTTTCACCCATTAGGGCCCCAAAACCTCCTGAATACCATAGATATCACTGATGGTAGTACGCCTCCATGCCCCCTGCAAAATACGCCTCTAAGGGTACTACCTGGTAATTATAGGGTATCTGCAGTTTGTTGATCACATTATTCAACTGCGCCAACAACAGTGCGTTGTTGTTGTTTACAGTTTCCAAGGATTCAGTTTTACCTTCCATCTTCTCCATAGAGTCCCTGGATTTATCAGATAATCAACATTCAATCAATCAATCAATCAATGGTAATGGGTTACTAAGACCCTACATATGTGATAATGTTTGGATCAGGGACGGTTTAATGTTTTTTTTTTTATAGAAATGAATCTATATATAAATTTGGCTTGTCTGTTTGTTTGTTTGTATCCAATAAACGTCAAAACGGCTGAACCAATCGGGCCCAAATTTTTTGTGGGACATCTAGGGACCCCAGGGAAGGTTTATGAATGATCAAAATTTCAAATATTTGTCTCCATCAAAATTCGATCTTCATTAAATTTTTGAAAATTTTGAAAATCCACGAAATTTTTTGTGAAAATCCGCGAATTATTTTTGTTTTGTTTTACGATGTACACAAAGAGAACATGTTCACAATTAATTTAGAAGATGGGCGCGAAGCGCCCTCTAAGGCTAGTTTCTTTATATTTTGTAATTATTCTAGTGTATCTGACAATTCAGGAAAAGTGCATTGTCAATATTGACACGACCTTGTCATTTGAGTTATTCTTATCAGAAACATTTCTAACACTGAGTATAAAAAGTGGGGAAAAATGTATGTCTGAGTTGTTAAGATCCCGTCCCATATCCAGAGACAATGTTGGTGGTAAAAACTGTAAGCAATGTTTTGTTAAGCATGAAGAGGATAAAAATCGCCATTTAAAATTATTTTCTACAATAAAACTTGTTTATATCAAAAACCTTAAAAGTTTTCAAGACAACGCAAAGTTTCCTAATGCGGCCAGTGTTTCAGAAAAGGGATATGCTCGAAATTAAAATTAAGTTAGTATCATCAAAAACAGATTTTCGCGCTTTACTATTTTGTGAAAGCGGGCATTTTTTGTTTTAAAATCTAACACTTTCAATTTCTAATAAATGTATGGTGTAATTTTGTTCTACTGGGCTTGGACTAAAAGACATATACTCCAGAAAAAGATAAGTTAAAGGATTTTGCCCATCCCTAACCTAGTGTTAAAAAAATGGGCTAATTGCGATTTGGAACTCTGATCTCCCCTGCAATAACAATAATATGTGAAACTAAACACATGTTAAATCCCAGGACCTAAACACTTCTATGCATGTTTTTATCTTACACCGACTTTCATATTTCATATTTGTCATATTTGTCATATTTGTCATATTTGTCATATTTGTCATATTTGTCATATTTGTCATATTTGTCATATTTGGAATAGGTAAGGATTTAATTGGAAGGAAGGAGATTTTCAGGTAATCTGTGGCAGGGTGAGATCAGAGGCAATAATGAAAAGATAAATTAAAATACAGGGTGTAAAGGATGGTGGAAATAAATAAGTTAATAAAGTTTCAGGTTTCAGGTTTTTTTTTATAATATCTACTAACATGATGTAACAAATTTTAACAAAAGTAAAACGTTTGAGTTTAAAAATGTTTTGGTTTAGGATATTAGTCTGTAAAACAATAAAACCTAGTTGAACCTTTTTGCTGGAGAATATAATTCTAAGATTTTTTAGAATTTTTGATGATCTGGGCCGCTGGGGAAAAAAATGAAAAATTGGACAATGGACATCTATTTAAAGGCAATTTTTATTTTTTTCATTTTTTAAATAAAACTAATTTTCGCTAGATAAACAGATAATCAGGTGNAGAAAATATGACCCTGCTTTTTGTATATTTGAACTGACCTGATATGCTCCAAGAACTCGTCGTACTGGTTAAGCCTGGACTCTAAGACCTCGACCTCCTGTATACTGGAGGTGAGGAGGAGCATGAGGTTGTCGACAGCCTCCTCGCTTGCCATCATACTGTGGATATTATCACCGTCCAACACACTCAACTCTCTACTCAACCTGAACATCAGGACACAGATGTTAAGTATCTAACACAACTATAAATATACTTGTTTGAATCCAATTTTTTTTCTGCAAATGACTCCAGGAACAAAAAATTAAAAATTTGAAATTTTCAACATGGAACCAGTGGAACCAATAGAACAAGTAGAACCAGTGAAACCAGTGAAACCAGTGAAACTAAATTTTTATTGGGAACACGATAGAACCCCGGGAATGTTCTTTGTTTGATATAAAAATTCTAAATTCAGTATGTTTACTTTTATGGTAAGAGATTAGATTGGCAAGCAAAGCTGGGTTCCCAAGCTAGTTATCTATAAATATAAAGTAGTTATCTTCGTTTCTCTCTTTGTTTGTTTTTATGTCCGATCATTACTAAAGAACCCACAAACCGATTAAGCCTCAAATTTTGATTGGAAAACTTGATAGAACCCCGGGAATGGTATTTGCTTGATTTTAAAATTCTAAATTCAGAATGTTCACTTTCAGATTGAGAGATTGATTGGCATACAAAACTAGGTTCACAAGACAGTTATAAAATAAAACTTCCATACCATAAACCCTACCCTAACATTATCATTGAGCTAAAAAAAAAATATTATAATACTGAACAAAAACAAAAAACAGATAAAAATGAATTATTGAACGAACTCTCACGGGCATTTTAAGAGACTCACCAACAGAAAAGTACTATAGGCAATTCACCGGGTGTGAATCAAAATATGGATTTAAAGTAAAAAACATACTGTTATGAATCTTTGGATCTAATGAGTTACCTCTTGGACCTGTGTATCCTGTATCCCCTGGCCTCTTGCACTTTGATCGGAATTTCCGGACACCCAGTTCATATTCATATACTTAGTTCTCCGACCTAATATATCAATTATATACAGACACCCAGTTCATTTTCATATACTTAGTTCTCCGACCTAATATATCAATTATATACAGACACCCAGTTCGTATTCATATACTTAGTTCTCCGACCTAATATATCAATTATATACAGACACCCAGTTCATTTTCATAAACTTAGTTCTCCGACCTAATATATCAATTATATACAGACACCCAGTTCATTTTCATAAACTTAGTTCTCCGACCTACTATATCAATTTTATACAGACACCCAGTTCATTTTCATAAACTTAGTTCTCCGATCTACTATATCAATTTCATATACTTAGTTCTCCGACCTAATATGTCAATTATATACAGACACCCAGTTCATATTCATATACTAAGTTAGTGTTAAGTTAAAAAATATTTTCCAACCTATATTATATTTATCACAGATCTGTGATAAGGTTTTAATAAACCCCTCCTTCTCATCAACTCTATTAAAGGTCCAGGTATATCGTTCGTCTGAAGAAAACCTTATAATTATAGAGGTCTCCTGCAAACCACCACACAAGTAACACAAGTAAGTATTGGACTTTAATGCATCCATTTTTTTAAGATCACTGATAAACACAAGGAAATCCGCAAACTTATAAAATTCAATTGAATTGGAGAAACTATAATTGATTTAAGGGGAAAAATAATGAATTTTTGGACGAAAAAGTATCAAAAAGATTGAAAAAACTTGCAATTAGATGTCAAATTTTTCATTTTTTTCCAAAATTAAAAAAATCATTTTAGGGGTAATTCTAAAAAAGACGCCTGAATTTATATAATGGTCGAGACAAAAATGGCGCTAGGAAAAGGAAAATTAACCTCTCTATCTGATGAAAGTAAATTAACATGTACTGCAGATGTATTCAATTATCAGAAAATTTTAGAAGGTTTGAACCTAGATCCATTTTTATATCCAAGGAATCAGCCGATACACCATCTAAAATATCATAATTTTATCTAAAATTCAAAAATTATACAATTAACTGATCAAATATCTACAAATGACTTTTATTTGAAAATTGCCGTATACACAATACAGTGTACAAAATATCAAACTCAATTCAGTACTGATAAATCTTATTTAGAATATATTTTGCATAACTTTGTAAAATTATTTCCGCGAGACATTTTCTAAAAAATTGAAAGACGCCATTTATATATGTATGTGAAGTGTGTAACTTTGGGTGTGAACCAATATTGTTATATATATAATGATTCATTTAAAAAGTATTATGTTTAATATAAAAGTTTATACCTAAAACCTTAAGATCCCGTAGTTGCCATTCCTGTTTCTTCTTGAAGGTCTCTCTTTCCCCCATCTTTACCAGGTACAGCTTAGCGTACACTGGGACATCCTGTACAGTTAAATAGGTTGTACATTGTACACGATATCTTACAAGGACATCGAGTACAGTTGAATAAGATGTACATGATATCTTAAACAGATACAGCTTGGCGTAACAAAGGGCCTGTACAGTTGAAAATATTGCAAAATGAAAATTGCACAATGTACATAATATCTTGAAAAGGTACAGCTTAGCGTAGACTGGGATATACTGTACAGTTTAAATACGTTTACCAATACAGTTATATCAAAAGATTTGAAAAAATGAATGATTCTACCTTTGTTGAGGCAATAGCCAGCAGCCAATCCTTTTTCTTCTTTTTGTCCTTTTCCTTATCATGCCTAAAATTATGTCACAAGTATTTAATCTTCAACTTTTTTAAAGTATATAAAAATTAACGCGAAGGTTGATAAATCAAAACGACAATTAGATGGCAAGGAATCTTTTGTGACGTGAGACAAAATACTTCTTTGTGCTTGTTAAACAAACTCGCCTTGTAACATGTGCTTGTTCGACAAACTCGCCTTGTAACATCTTGTTCAGTCAGACTCACGTACCTTGTAACAGTGCTTGTTCAACAAAATTGACCTTGTAAAATATGCAAGTTCAACCAAAACAACCTAGCAATATGTGCTAGTCCACACAAACTAACCTGGAATTATGTGCTAGTCCAACCAAACTAATCCAGGAACAATGTGCTTGTGCGACTAAACTAACCTGGCAACCTGTGCTAATCGACCCCCACTAACCTGGCAACATGTGCTAATCGACCCCCACTAACCTGGCAATATGTGCTAATCGACCCCCACTAACCTGGCAACATGTGCTAATCGACCCCACTTACCTGGCAACATGTGATAATCGACCCCCACTAACCTGGCAACATGTGCTAATCGACCCCCACTAACCTGGCAATATGTGCTAATCGACCCCCACTAACCTGGCAACATGTGCTAATCGACCCCCGCTTACCTGGCAACATGTGCTAATCGACCCCCACTAACCTGGCAACATGTGCTAATCGACCCCCACTAACCTGGCAACATGTGCTAATCGACCCCCACTAACCTGGCAACATGTGCTAATCCAACCAAATGTTCATCTGTTAGATCAAACAACTCTTTCTGCAACCTATAATAATATATTCTTTTTCTCTTTACATCTTTTTACATTTTTAACATTTTAATTTTTTTTCATCATATAACTATTATTATTTTTATATTATTATATGTATGTAATCTGTATATTGTATATATTCCCATATATCTTAAGTTTTATTTTTCTATTAGTATTTTAAAATGTAAAATGTCTACCTTAATCTTAACGCTGCCATATTTCTTCAGTTCATTTATAAATCTGAAAATTTAAATATTAAAGCATAAAATTTAAAGAAAGTTGTTTAACAATTTGGGTGTTAATTTCAAGCTGAAAACGAATCATAATCTTAAGCATTATCTAAAAATATCAACGATGTTTTGTGACAAAATATCCTGAAGTTACTTTTCTGTTCTGTTTTTTAACAGCTAAGCATAAACCTACAAATGGTAACACATTACGCATTTTACGCTTTAACTTAAGAAATCATGATTGTCTGAAGTAAACAATAACGTTGCTAAGTGAAAATGAATGTAAATATACTATTTTATTGGAACCCAAAACCACGAAGAACTTAATATCATATCTGACAATCTTGTCGTTGATAAATATATATATATATAGGTTAGTGTTAGATCTTTTCTAAGCTAATCACATTGAATTAAGTAGATATATGTAAAATTTTCGTAATACAAATACTGTTAGGAATTCAATCATTTGTTCTACCATTTAACCCAATGGTAGAACAAATGAAAGGATGGAAAATGTCATTTCTTTAGTTTGAAGTTTCTTCAATTTCTACATTTTGACCAGATCTCGGAGCTAGACCCCTGGGTTGTCATGTCCATTTGACGTTTTCATTCGAAGAGACTGTAAAAGATATTTCGAGTGACCCTCCATTCAAACAAGGGCTACCCGAGCACAAAAGGTATCTTCTAAAGCCAAATTTAAAATATGGAAATCTCATTTTTATCAGAAAAAGCTTTTAAGGATACCGTTGTAAATCGGATATGCCTGTCTAAAAATGTAGGTTCAATTAAAATAACGTGTATGTACAGTCTCTTTAAGGAAAAATGTTTTGATTGAAAAATGATTGTCAAGTAATTGGAAAGTACTTGTTAAACAATTTTTAGATAATCTTCGTAATAATTTATAGAAATATATACCTTCTGCATTAGGAAACAATATTAAGACAGTTTAAAGACACAAAAACATATTCATTGGATTAGCTTCCTGTTTGTGCAATGTAAATATAAGTAGATAAGAAGTAATTTGTAGTGGCACTTGAACATATTTTGGCAATATTTTAGTGGAACAAAATAAAGATTTTAAATCCAGGCCAAATTATTTTTGGAATGAAATTTTAATTCTTCTAAAAGAATAGATTCTGTAACAACCATTAAGAAATAAAAAGAATTATGGCAACCAATTAAAAAAATACAGAATACACATGATTGATAGTAATACACATGGAATTCAGTGTACATCAAATAAGTTGAACTCCGTGGACCATAAATCATCAAAATATCAATGATAAGGAATATTCTAGAATCTGTCATATGCTCCTCCGGTTCCGCTCCTGTCATCGTTCAAACTTAAACCATCATTAAACAAACCATACATATATATCATAAAAAATTTAAAGTAAAATTTGAGACTTAATCTTTTTCTCAAATCATTTTTCTCCCAAATGTAATATTCAGTGACAAAAATATTTTTTTATTTTAAGGAAAAGTGATGCCTCTTAAAAAAAATTCAAGTTTAAACGTTTGAACCCTGCCTGAGTTTATAATATCTGAACCCGACAAACGCTATCGCTAGAACGAGAAGAGTCAGAAGAATCCCTCCGAAGAAACTCCAACCGTTGAATTGGTTTCCATTGGAATCAGGACCAGGTGTAGTTGGAGCAGCATTAGTACTGCTGGGAGTAGGAGTCGAAGTTGAAGAGGATGTGGAGGTAGAGGAAGAAGTACTTGTTGTATCAGTTGATGTGGAAGGGGTAGTAGTTGTGGCAGTAGTGGTTTGATTAGTAGGAGTCGAAGTTGAAGAGGATGTGGAGGTAGAGGAAGAGGTAGAAGTACTTGTTGTATCAGTTGATGTGGAAGGGGTAGTAGTTGTGTTAGTAGTGGTTGTATTAGAAGGTTTCAGTGTACTTGTTGTGGTGGTTGGGTCTGTGATAGTGTTGGGCGTTGTTGAATCAGTTGTTCCACTGGTGGTTGATTCTGTAGTTATTGGAGTATCTGTATTTCTATTATTGTTTGGAGTATCAGTAGTACCAGTAATATCAGTAGTATCAGTAGTGTCAGTAGTATCAGTGGCGTCAGTGGTGTCAGATTCTTTAGCTGTTGTAGGTTCATAAGAGAAACCTTAAATTCAATGAAAAAATATAAGAAGATGAAAAATGCACACAAAAATTAAATTTTGATTCCTTAAACTATGAAATTTGAAAAAAGGCAAACGTTAAAAGAATACAGTTTAGATATGTTTAAGCCTTCACAGATTTTTTTGGAGTCTTAAATAAGTCAAAAATAGTTCTTTAAAACGAACATTTATTTTAATTGAAATTTTTGAGAAATAAGACTGGCAAGCCACCCCCCCCCCCATCTACTCTTTTTTGATACTCCTTAGTCAGAATTCTAACAACTTCCCAATTCAGCAAAAACTAAATTTAACTTTTTTGAACTACGCGTTAAGTGTACCAAGTTGAAAAATAATTTTTGAGGCTTGCAGGAAACATGATTTAATACGAAAATTTACACACCCGTGTAATTAACTATTAGAAATAATGTTCATAATGCTTACATGTTTTAAGATCTTTGATTGTATGAAAGATCTTGGTTCTTATCTCCGATATATCTAGGAAAGTCTGAAATTAATGGTTAATGAGAAGAAATGAAAGATTAGACTCACACTGCTTCTTCATAGGGTTTCAACCTGGATATATTCAACATTCAGTTGTGTAAAAACATAAAATTATATTCCTACTAAATTACACGAATATCATTAATTGTGAATTTGCGGTGGGTGCGTAGGGAGGATTTAAGTCTTTAATTTCTATACCCTTTCACAAAAATAAATTTCGGTTTAAGATTCTAAATATTAATTCATAACAAAGGGAGGAGAAATGTCTATATTCATCAAGGAAAAATCCCCCCCCCCCCTAATTCTGTTTGAGTGGGAGGGATGAGAAGGGGTTCTTAGCAAACCTTCCCCCCAATCTCTGAATGGGGTGGAAGGGAGTTACCTGGCACACATTTCCTCCCTCAGTTTCTAAGAAAACAGTGCATTTAGGATTCTTCAGACAGGTTTCACAATCCAGCAGTGATCCACAATCCTCTCCTGAACAAATCGCCAGAGGTCAGGGGGGTGATTTGGCATTTTTTTTAAAATTTGCAATACCCCCCCCCAAAAAAAAAAATCCCATGAAACATTTAATCCAACTTACAGTTATCAACACTTTATGGGCCGAGCGCTGCGGCTAGAACATGTTAGTGGGCCGAGCGCTGTGGCTAGGACAGTCTAGGGGGCCGAGCTCCGCGGCTAGAAAAGGCTAGTGGGCCGGGTGCAGCAGCCACACGACTAACTTTATCCATGTGATCAGTAAGAGATGCATGTATAAAATTGATATGAGGGGGGGGGGGGCGAGGGTCCAAAATCGTTCTCTAAGAATTTACCCAACTTTAGACAATTTATAAATATCCAGGAGAAGGGACGGGAACCCAATCCCATAAAGTGTATTTCTAAACAGATATAGGAAACAATATTCTTGAAGAAGGGGGAAGGGACGATTATTTGAGAAATACATCCCCTTGCATATACCTGTATAGATTAAGGGTTAAATTGCATATGTGAACAGGGGGGGTGGGGTCCAAAAATCGTTCAATAGGACAGACCCTCATACTTGATATCTCCTCAGGATCTGACCATACCTTTAGCCAAAGAAAGTGCTGAAACCAGGAACACAAGTAAATGAAAAATCCTGAAAACCATCCTGATAATTATAAACAGAACAAACTCTGAAAAATAAAACTTTCAGATTCTTTTCACAAATGAAAATGTGAACGAATAAAATTGTCAAATCAAATGAATGAAAAGAAAATCCTTTACTTAATCACGGACATAAAAAAAGTTGTGTATATAACGAAAAACGCGGCACAAATGGTAGTTTCTGCGCATTATCTTATATTTGACAAAGAAGAGAAAGATTCTCTTCAATTTTACAATTAATAAAAATGACAAAATTGCCTTCAAAATTTAACTATTTATTATTTAGGTTCGCAGTGTTATACAGTTTTGGACAGAAATTTTCTCATTATCGAGAAGGTCCAAGGAGGGGAGGAAGGCTTGCCACAACAATTTCTTGTCCGGCCACGATCAGACTCATCATGACCTTACTAGAATGTTTGTAGGTTGGGTGGTCATCAATTGTAGGTCGCCGTATTTACACTTTTTTTTTAGAGTTTTTGAATATATGTTTTAAACAATTATTCATTTAAATGTATCTTTGTTTTTTCATTAATAAAAGTTTGAAGATAGAAAAATAGTTCGTTCAAATGAGCAAATGTGCAGATTTGAACTACATGACTTCATTTTAGTAGTTCAAATGACAATAATTCAAACGAACATACAGAGCGTCCCACGTATCATATTAGATTATCTCCAATCTTTAACGCCGAAATATACACTGCATAATACTCGAAAAATCTAGCAGTTTCTGCAAAACAAATTTTTTATTAGCCTTATTAAATTTTTCAAAATGATTCATTCTTCTTAAATTTTCTGATTTGTCCCCCAAATCGCAATTTAGACCTCTAAGAGAAATATTACAAAGACGACCTTCTAATTTTCTCCCAGAATCTTTCTCTTTCAGTTCCATTATTTTTTATTTTTGTTTGGTTTTGTAATAAAACCTGCCGGTCATTCTTAACGTTTTATTTTTAAACAACAAATTATGGACGCAAAGTGCTATGTTATTGATATTATAGTGTTTTAGATATAATTATAAAATGGGACGAAGATTTATGCAGGGTACAGAGTCCGTCAAGCAAAATATACCGAGTCACAAAGAGAAGAAAGGGAGAAAGAAAAGCCGGAACAAAGCGAAAGAGAATCAGTCGATGTCTCAGCCGCCAATTTTCATTCGTCAATCAAAGGAATTTCATAATCATAACAGATTCTTTAAAACACAAGTCTAAATTCAATCAACGAACGTAAAAACACATAGTTTTGCAGTTTTTTTGGCAATGGCATGGTACATAAGGGTATATTCCTAGAGATCGATTTTTGGATCCCTAGCCGCAGCGCTCGGCCCATAAAGTGTCTTAACTTAACCTAACCCTAAATAATAATAAATAAAAACTAATTTAGTCGTGTACAAAATTGATAGGAGGGAGAGGGGCTGGGGGGGGGGTCCAAAAATCGTTCACTAGGTATGTGAATATATGCATAAAATCTTTAAATGTTAGATTAAACTGAAGGTTTTGATTACTAGATAGTTCTTATTATTTAGAAGATGTTTTGGCTTGTTTTTGTTTATTGAATGGTTCTAAACAAAGGCTTTACGACGTTAAATTTTCCAAAGATTATGAATCAACTGAAGGACGATGGGAGTACAACCCTGTCTATCCTTGCACCTGGAGACGGATTGGTTCCAGGAACAGAGAAAGATCGTCCAATCTCTCTCGGAAATCTAATAGGTAACTTCCCTTGCATACTTACTTGACAGATGCGTATACAGGAGGGTTGGGGGAGTCCCTAACGGCCCCTCCCCCCGGAATTTCAAGAAAGGGTAGTCCCACTCTGGACAAATTCCTGACAGATTCCATCATCACCATCACTGAATTTTAAACAAATTCCTGAATACGCCATTGTTACGTACGTGACGTCACATGCAGGGGTGTAGTCAGGAATTGGTCTAGGGGGGAGGGGTTCAGTACCCGTTGGGACCTGAAAACCATAGATTTCACTGGTCTTGGAACTTTTAAGACGCTATATTTTTTTTGTATTAAATGTTAACTCTTCTAACCTACTCCTGTTAAAATATCGGATAAACTGATTTATGGAAATTTTCCAATTTGCGAAATTTACAAAGTTTGGTTTCTGGCAAAACCTCGATGATTATTCCGACGATAAATAGCGAAAATTCTGGTTCTTCGGGACTGAGTAGCAAAAGTGCAAATTTGTTTTTTCAATTCCCAAAGTTATAGGGTATCATGTGTATTTAAAATTAGTCAATCTGAAACATGACAAATAATTATAAATGTGTTGATGTGAGATGTCTTCGTAATTTGTTTAATCAAAGATAAAATTATATTATCTTCTTAAACATACTTCTATAGTAAAACCAAATATTGTATGTGAGCACTTACCAAGCCTCCTCGCAAGTATCCCTAGTATAATTCTTCAATTGTATTTTATCTAATTGTATTTTATCTAGTTTTAATAAAATAATTTCGTATTATTTTTAAGGTCGAGTTAGAGTGGGGACTTCTTATTTGGTCGGGTTCAGAGAAGATAAACGGAACATCGTTAAGGAAATCTGAATATAAAAATGTTTTTTTTTTTTTAATTATTTTGGAAATCATTTTTGGTTTTAAACGTATCATTGTAATCATAAAAATACAAATTGGGTTTAAAACTTTCAAGAAAATGAGTCAAATTCAAAGTTTTGGCCATCGAGAATTTTGAAAATCTTCTATTTTTAATATTCCTATGTTTAAAGGCAATGTATCCGATAAACTACAATTTCTTCTCTAGCTACGGGCCTAGCTATGATTCAACCTTCTCCAACCTAACCCTAGAGGAAACCCAGCTGGTTCAAACCGGAGTCAGGTTTAACAAACAAACAGAGGAATACGCAGACATTATCAGGTCAGTTTAATTATTCACTTTATTTACCGTACGACTAATCAAGTGGTATCAGGGATCCGAGGCGTACACAGTACATCACCCTGGATCAGTGAAATCTGTGGTTTCCAGGGGGTTTTCAGGTCCCGACGGGTTCCGACCCCCCCCCCCCCCCCCCCCCCCGCGCTACACGAAAAAAATTAAGCCCCCTGGATAAGTTCCTGCTAACGCCACTCTGAGGGGAATCTGTTATTATGCTAAAAAAAGATTTTTTCCATCACTTTTCTTTTTTAATCTTAAATATTCTCAAGCTTTATTTCTTCTTTTTTTAAAAATTTCGAAAATCTGCCAGCTAGATAAGCAACATCGTACACAGTTCAAGGAGTTTAAAAGCTTTTTTTTTATTCAGAAATGTATTTTGCCCTATGAATTATACCAATATGCAATGGGACGCTCTTATTTAATTTTTTAGACCAATAAAAACATACTCTTCGGGAAATCTGTCGGGTTGCTGGGTGAATTGACATGATTCTGATTTTTGTCATTAAATTTACATTTTTGCAGGACTGTCAGCTTGGAGGATTACACGCACACCTTCGTGGATCATCTAATCAACATCCTGGAGGGAGGAGCCGATGACAAGGAGGAAGAGAGGATGGAAGGGAATGAGAAGGACGAGGAGACGATGGAAGTTGAGGAGGCTCAAAATGTGAAAGAAAATGATTGTGAGGAAATGAAAGATCTGGCTCAGACGGCAGATATCGGAGAGGATAAGAAAAAAGAAATCACTGTGGAAAATTCCGAGAAACCGATAGAAAATGGAGTTAACGGCGAAGAACCCGTAAACGGAAAAGAGAAGGATAACGATAATGAAGAGAACAAAAATGAAAAAGTGGAAGCCACAAAACAAGATCTAGAACTTGCAAATCTAAATGAAAGTCAGAAAAATGTTAGTGAAAATGAAGAAATTGACTTCGAGGGGATTCGGTCGCTGTCTGCCGACGGAATAGACATAAGTTTCTTAGAGAATCTACAAAGCGCATACGAAGCAAGAAATCAACAAAAACCCGCCGTTACCGTCGATGAACGTCTCCAGTTGACAGCAGAGCTTCTCGAAAGTTTGAAAAACTGCCAAAGTTCGCGACTAGCCGTATGTCCAGCCTCGAATCTAAATCAGGTTCTGAGCCCAAGTGAGGTTGAGATGCGTCTGGCCGGCCAAGTTCTAGATAATTTGACCTCTATCCTCCAGCACACTGAGCCAGGCCAGGTTGTTAATGTCGCGTCTATTCGTCAAGCGATGGGGGTTAACTTTAGTTCAAGCACTTTTGAGAATTCATAACATCCCCTGAGTTTGTTTCCATTAAGACACTATAGACGCAATTCTGTGTGATTCTCCAAATAAAGAATGACATGTTCTCTAGACTCAAATTGATCAAGGATGCCGGAGATATCATTATTTTTCTAGATTAAAAATGAATTTTAAATTAGTGTTTCTCTTTCGCAACATAAAAAAAGATAACACTTCAAAAAATGAAATGGACGATAGTTTTCGCTTTTTTGTTTATATATATTTGCAAATTGAACATTTCAATTTAGAAATCCCAGAAGGTCACTTGAAGTTACGTCTACAGTTCGTTCCTTTTAACATCAGATCTATTAAAGTATACTAAATAAATCCTCTTATTTTTAGAGAACAAAAAAATGAAATTAATTTAATTATTATTATTTTTTATCCCGTAAATTAACATATTTTAACTCCAGCTGGTTTTTCTTCCAATCCTCACCTCTTACAACTTTCTGAAAGTTGCCTGATATGTACAAATTGACTTTTAATACACAATTAAACTTGCTTTTATTGTACAATTCTTGTTGTAAATTCTTTGAGCAGTGTACGCTGTACGAAGTACACGTATGTTTTAAATTGACCTGTATTGTAATGTTTGTATTTCCTTAAAGATATTAATTATGTAAACCATCACACTCCTATATCGATGTTGGGTACACTGTACAGTGTACTGTGCACTGCACACGAGTGTTGGGCAGCGAAGTAAACATTAAATTCCTTGCTCAGAAATAAATGCTATACTGTATTGTACCGTTCTGTACTGTGCTGGGCTGTACTGTACTGTACTGTACTGTACTGTACTGTACTGTACTGTACTGTACTGTACTGTACTGTACTGTACTGTACTGTACTGTACTGTTCTATACTGTTCTGTATTAGTCGTTTCGGTTCTTAGACGGAAGTTCAAGATTTCTTAGAACTTGCATTCAAATTTAAATACTAAGAAAGAATTATAAATCAATTAGTATATTCTCAAATCACTTAGTACTTATGTTTTAATAAATATGAATTGAACCTGTTCTTTTAAACCATGATTTCGATACTGCATTTAGCTTCAATTTTATTTAAAGCTTTTTAATCATTAGAATATATTGATATCTTTCCCACCTTCGGATAGATTATCGTGAATTATGTATACTTTTATACTTTTGTATAATTTTCTTAAGTTACCTTCCCATGCATTGTCTGGTTTTTTTGTGTCCTAAAACAGAAAATTGTGAAAACTAAATACAACTGTATAAAGATGAATGTTATTAAAAGTATTAATTACAAAATTGATATGAATAATTAGTAAATTAAACTTGAAATAAATTACAGAAATATGTCGAAAATGTTAACAGTCGCGGTCCAGTCGCCCGAGGGACAAAAACGAATTCAGGTAACCCCTTTCCCCCCACCCCTTCTGATCACTCTAGACTTCTAATAATCCATAGATACATTTTTTCCAAATAAAATAGATAGTTCAGTATCTTATGTCTGGTGGAATAAATAGACGTTCTAACTTTAAAGTATCAATTTGGGAGTCAAAATTCGAAAAATCGAAACTGGAATTAATTCAGCAATGCGATGAAATACAAGGGAAGGGAAATATTTCAGTCTACTAAGAGAAAACTATAATGTGTTGGATACTCACAATCCTGACTGCTTGATCTCGATATCCACTGTGGATACTTTTAATTCAAGGATCAATGCTTAATCTCTTTATTTCAGTTGAAGATTTCAATGCGGGATATCGAAAAAAGATTAAATTAATCTTCAGATTAGAAAAAAAGATCGCGATTAAGCCTTGATCTCGATATCAACAGAAGAAGAGTTCTCAGCTCTGATTAATTAAGGTTTCAAGTTCTGGAAAAGCCGAGGATTTATATAAATCTGTGTTCTCTGCCTTCGACCTCGCCTCAATGGAGTTTATCCTCGCTAAAGATCAGAAAAAGAAAACCCTGGTCGATAATTCAAGAATTAAATCTTTGACTAGTTTAGGTAAGTTCGGTTCTCAGAGGCGGCTTACAAAAAAGGGGAGAAAAATTGCTCACTGAAAAGCATGTTTCGAAAGTCAAGAAATTGTTTAAAAAATATAGTTTTATAAATTTTTATGTGAAATCAGAGAATATTAGTTTGAAGTTTATACAAATTTGAATGTGAAGGGGGGGGGGCTCCAATTTTAAAGTGGAAATGAAATAAACTTTGCTGTGCCCTACACTTACAGTCACTCATCCCAACCCTCTAAAAATGATAAATGAAAAAGGCAATTCTATAAGAATTGATTAATTTAGGAATAAAACACGGAGATAGGCTCTTCATGTTTCCGAAAACTAAGGTAAACTTTTTTAAGGTTAATCTTATTTTTTTAAGACATCTGATTTTTCAACAATTCTTTTGGTGAGTAGATGAAAGCATTGTATTTTTAGCATTCTAACACTTTAAAATAATTATAAATTGTACGAGTTCTCTGGAACACAATTTAAAACAAAGAAAATTTGCGTAAAGATAGTTACTGAAAAAATTCAACTAAATTAATTGATATTTGTGTTGTTAGACGGACGTGTTTAAGTCCCCTGAAGAAACCGGTTCTTCAAGTAAACAAACAGCTGTTGTTTATGAAGAAGACGAGGTGGATAAACTGCTGAGGAAACAGGTCAGCTACGAATGTAACAGGGGATGATTTTTAAATATCTATGAATAATTGGACATCAAGATTCAAGATGAAAGATTTGTCATCCTTTATTTTTCCCAATTCAGCGAAAAATCAGTAAAAAAAGGTTTACGCAAAAATACCTAACTTCTGCGAGAAAAAAAAAACGACCAAGCTTATATTGCTTGATTCACTTCCAAAAGAGGATTTGTGAGAGGAGCTGGCAGTACCTGACACCTGTATCCCCTGTATCCCTGCCTCATCAATAGCCCAATCACGATTTCCAGGACAGGGTGTACCAATCTTATAATTTATCTAACCTAAAGTCCGGGGGCGAATGTTAACCTAATTAACTTTTAATTTTGCGGTACATCCCTCTGCCCAGATAGTATAGGAATAATGTTCCTGCAATAATTATCCAAATAACTAATACTACTAACATATAATCAAAACTATTCAAACCATAAACACTAACCCTTATTCAAGGATGGATTGGACACTATCATGTAAACCAAAGATGCCATATAGGACCACACTGTAGCTCCTGTTATAATCCTACCTGGATTTCTAGGAGTCAACATAGAAGTATCGAAGTAAGTAAGTATCGAAAGGGAGTGGGGTGATTTTTCAAGAAAATATACATCCATGAATTCTCAATCAATCTGAAACATTTATTGCTAGCCGGAAAGTAGCGCGCCGGTCAGCGAGTCTTAAATCTGAGATTAACTTCACAGGCTTGCGTGACTATACGCGTATTCTAATAAATGGCAGTTCATCTATTTACAAGCTACATTTAGAAATCATCTTAGTATGGCAAAACGTCTTACTAGCCTCCCAAAGATTTTACCCTTAGAATTAAATTCATTTGGTCAAATTAATCAAGTTTATCTTTTAATGTAATATTTTGCAATAAAAGTCTGCCCTAATTGGAAGTACTTAAAGTCAATGGAAAGTGTCTCAAGGGAAATATAAATTCTGATGCGATGGTTTAAAATTATTAAACGTTACTGCTACTGCAGGATGGGAGGATAGAGAGAGGCCGTGATAATCTGCATTGTCAACATAACACCAACTCACAATGTGTTCATTGTATCCCTCTCGATCCATTCGACGAGTCATATCTTAAGGTATATCTTGATTGATTAATCGATTGTTTGCCGAATTGATTGATTGCATCGTTTGATTGATTTTGTTCTTGTTGTTTTTGGGTTAATTTACAGACTATTTATCTTTTTTCTAGTAAATTGGAGAGCCATTTAGACAAAATTAAATAGTTGAATGATTAAATGATTGATTGATTAAGTGAATGATTAATTGATATTTTTAGGAGAAGCAGATCAAATTCATGTCGTTCCACAGCTATCTACGCAAAATATCTGGCGGAGTTTCCAAGGAACGTCATTAAATCTTCTGAACTAGCAAGATATTGAAAAACACGCAAAAATGGAAATAATGTTTATAATGGCAACTGTTTTATCTACTACAAGATTTAACCCACGATTAAAATTTAAGGATAAAAGTTGATTTTTTTTTGCAAGTGAAAACAAGTTTACTAGTTTTGCTTTAATTATTTATCGACGGTTCGCTCTGATTATTAACGATGCTTGGTTTGTTTCATTATTTAACAAGTACTTGCTTTGCCACTTAACGACAGTTTGCTCTGATTATTTAACGACGGTTTGGTCCAGGGAAAATTTGCTCCACTGAGGAATTTATCTTGTAAAGTTGAGCACACCAGTAGATGTTCTCATCAACCATATCCACAGGTAAAATTGCAGCCCCCCCCCCCCCCTCGCATCTGTAGAAAAGGAACCTCAAATATAATAGATTTCGATTTTGATATTTTTACTTAGTAGCTTAACAAACTTGAAATTGAATAATATTTTTACATAGTAGCTTAACAAACTTGAAATTGAATAATATTTTTACTTGGAAACAGTCTTATCAAAATGTTCAATGTTTAGTTTATTGTTTAAAAAAACTATTAGATAAGTTTTGAAGAGTATTTTGGGGGCAAGTGAAAAATGAGAGTTCAACTTAAACGGTCATGAGTCATTATTTAAAATACGTCCTGTTTACTAAATATTTCAGTATCTTTTTCACTGAAAGTTCGACCTTTGTCTGGTCAGAAAACCAGTCGTCTGACTTTGACCAAGGCCAATTTAAGACTAAGTTTCTACTACTCAACCAGTTAGATAGATTCTGGCTTAACCTACAGTACATTATTATTAATAAACAGTTATAAGTGTACTGTAAAGCTAACTGAGCACACAGGTAGAGAACTATCATCCCCCCTGGATAGATCCCTGCATTTACTCAACCCTATTTTTGTAACCAATAGGACTTTTATACGTCATTAGATTTATGTACTTTGTATACAGACCTCTGCGGAGGTTGATTTTTTTACCTATAAAAACCGAATATTGAACATACATCTTTATTCTGTTAACAACTTCTGTACCACCTAGTGCTAATGATTATAAATATTTTTTATTTTTATTATTATTAATAAATGATTTTCAGGAGAAACATACAATTCTTAGTTTATGATGCTTTCATTAATAAATATGGCAGGGAATCTGTTCTAAATGTCAACCCTCGGCAGTGACCTTAAACCGTCAGCCCTGGCGCCACGTGGACTCCATCATGTTTGAGAACCCGAAGATAGTTGACCGATTCCTTCAGTTCTGGAGGGAAAGTGGAGCACAGCGGGCCGGTTGGTTATACGGCAGGTATAGACTTTACTGCACAGTGGGATAATAATGATAATTATTATAAGGGATGGGGGGGGGGGGGGTTAAATTGACATGCTACTATATATTTCATAACTCAGGGATCTATCTTTTCCCAGAAGTTAAGGTACGATTGCGCAGAGCGCCAGAACATGTTTTAGGGTTTTATTCGCCGAATTGAGGGAAATAAATAAAATTTAGGGGGGAAAGTATCAGAAAGAATAAGAAACTAGTTTTTTGACATCCAATTTATTTCTTCCATCAAACATCATTTAATTCTTAAACTTTTCAGGTATGAGGTGTATCCCGAGGTTCCCCTAGGTATCAAAGCAGTAGTCAGCGCTATCTATGAACCACCCCAGGAGTCAAGTAAAGATCATATTCGTATCCTCACTGATCCAAGGTATGGAAAACCATTTTATACTTTAATTCTCTGTTTAGGACCCATCCAGCTCATTAGTATTTCTTTTCATTCTCTGATATGTATTGTATAGACTAGCTTAGAACCTGGTTTAGGTTGGATAAGATAAACCCTGATATATATATTTTATAGACAAGGACTAGTTGATGAACTAGCTAGAAACTTGATACATGTGTTGTATGTATAGACAAGAGCTAGTTGATGAACTAGCTAGGAACCTGGGTCTGGTTAAGGTTGGATGGATATTTACTGATCTTGTCCCGGGAGCGAACGGACAGGTAACAACAAAACAACAAAAACTGAAGCATATAAAAAAATTAATATTATTAATACTTTATAATTAGGTGAGAAACTACAGAGGCGCGGATTCACATTTTCTCTCTGCACAAGAAATTATTTCAGCAGCAGTTCTTCAAAACTCTAATCCAAACCCCTGCAGGTAGAATTATAATCCTTTAAATCTACCCTACTCCTTGCAGGTAGGATTATAATCCTTTAAACCTATCCTACTCCTGCAGGTAGGATTATAATCCTTTAAACCTATCCTACTCCTTGCTGAGCTGAAAACTTTAGAATGTGATATCCTTAATCCCGATCTGTTGACTTCTCTGCAGATTAAATTCATGAGGAAAAGAAGCCATATTTAATCTGGATATTAAGAAAAAGAGTGGATTAAGCATTAATCCTGATATCCACCATTCTAAAGTTTTCAGCTCAGGTAGGATTATAATCCTTTAAACCTATCCTACTCCTGGCAGGTAGGACTATAATCCTTTAAACCTATCCTACTCCTTGCAGGTAGGACTATAATCCTTAAAACCTATCCTACTCCTTGCAGGTAGGATTATAATCCTTTAAACCTATCCTACTCCTTGCAGGTAGGATTATAATCATTTAAACCGATCCTACTCCTTGCAGGTAGGATTATAATCATTTAAACCTATCATACTCCTTGCAGGTAGGATTGTAATCCTTTAAACCTATCCTACACCTTGCAGGTAGGATTATAATCTTTAAACCTATCTTTCTCCTTGCAGGTAGGATTATAATTCTTCAAACATATCCTACTCCTTGCAGGTAGGATTATAATCCTTTAAACCTATCCTACTCCTTGCAGGTAGGATTATAATCCTTTAAACCTATCCTACTCCTTGCAGGTAGGATTATAATCCTTTAAACCTATCCTACTCCTTGCAGGTAGGATTATAATCCTTTAAACCTATCCTACTCCTTGCAGGTAGGATTGTAATCCTTTAAACCTATCCTACACCTTGCAGGTAGGATTAGAATTCTTTAAACCTATCTTTCTCCTTGCAGGTAGGATTATAATTCTTCAAACATATCCTACTCCTTGCAGGTAGGAATATAATCCTTTAAACCTACCCTACTTCTTGCAGGTAGAATTATTATTCTTTAAACGTATCCTACTCTACTCCTTAAAGCCTAAAGGTAGGATTGAAATTATTCAAACATTTCCTACTCCCTGCACTTAAATAAGAATCCTTTTAACCCAACCTACTTCTTTCAGGTAGGATTGTTATCCTTTAAACTTATCCTACAGCATTCTTCTTTTCTGGCCACCCTGATTTGATTTGTAAATATGGTTAGATCTTGTTAAGTTTACTTACTGTATATTTGATCAGGGAGACCGATGATGGAGTGTTTGGTTCTAAATTCGTCACAGTTTGTGTTACAGGGAATAAGGACAAGGAGATCCACATGGAGGGATACCAGGTATACTTCTTCACTGGTATGTACTGTATATGATATATATATAAATTAGTAATCTTAGTTTGTTTGTTTGTTTGTAAGTCCGATCATAACTCAGGAGCCCCTTGACTGGTTTGCCTCTAATTTTGAATTGGGAACTCTGTAGAACCACGGGAAAGTTCTTAGTTGAATTATACTTTGCTTGTCTGTTTGTTTGTAACCGATAAACGTCAAAACGGCTGAACTGTGTGTGGAACCTCACATGACCCCCCGGGGGATGTTTATGGATGGTCAGAATTTGAAAACTTTACCTAAAAAATTCCATTTTCGTAAAGTTTTGTACGTAGTGGCAAAAAAGGTTCCGGATTTTATCTCTGAATTTTAGTTTTTGGGTGAAATAAATATTGCTCCCGGGGAAATAAATCCGATTCGGATAAATTTACCCTCGTTCCTTTCTAACTTTTTTTGATCTAGGTATCCAACCAATGTATGAGTCTGGTCAAAGATAAGATATTAGTTCCTACAAAAGATGCCCCCGAGCTTGCATATATCAGGTGAAATCTTTTTTTTTCAATTTTTTTGAACTTCAAATGAATAGAGGTAGACAATAAAATAACTAAGTTATTTTTCAGTTTTCTTAAATAGTTTTTGAATCATATCTAGAGAGTCAACTGATGAGAATTATGTCCCGGATGTTTTCTTCATGGAGAAGGACAAATACGGAAACGAAATCAAAAAGGTAACAAATAAGGCAAGATTCTAGGACTAGATAGGCAGGCTCTCCGGTACCAAAAAATGTGATTGCCAGCCGGATCGCTTCATGTACGAGGGTGCTATAGCGTCGGGAAATCCGGTTGAGGGGTGCAATTTACGCACAGATTGATGTTCGGTGGATTGGTTTATTTGCTGATTGATTGATTGATTGACTGATTATTTGATTGATTATTCTAGTCTTTCTCTCACTCATTAGATTGATTAATGAAAGATGATTGATCTTTTGTATTAATTAAAAATTGATGGATGGCCTGATTGATTGATTGATTGATTGATTGATTGATTGATTGATTGATTGAATGAGTGAATGTTTAAATTCTTCATTGTTCTAGTTGGGTCGACCTCTACCTGTTGAGTATCTTCTGTTGGATGTTCCTGTCTCCTCTCCCCTTGAACCTCAGTCAACCTTCACTATACTTACAGACAGGTAGACCGTAGACATAGTAGACTAGTAGTCTAATAGCCAGGGTTTACTTACAGACAGGTAGACCGTAGACATAGTAGACTAGTAGTCTAATAGCAAGGGTAATACTTACAGACGGGTAGATATAGTAGACTAGTAGTCTAACAGCTAGGATATACTTACAGACAGGTAGACATAGTAGACTAGTAGTCTAATAGCTAGGGTATGCTTACAGACAGGTAGACATAGTAGACTAGTAGTCTAATAGCTAGGGTATGCTTACAGACAGGTAGACATAGTAGACTAGTAGTCTAATAGCTAGG